ATAAAAATTAGTTAAACTGTTAATACTTAAATAAGAAGATACTCACAATGATACACGGTGCTTGAGTTCCTTGTAATTGACAGTAGTTGATCAGCATCTACAGGCTTTTCAATTTGTCTGTCTACTAGAAATAAAAACTAAAACTGCTTTGAAGATATGAAAATAATAATCGGAATTTAAATTCAGAGAAAAGTCACGGTTAACACTTCAAAGGCGTAACCTATTACTGTTAGTAGGAGCAGGGGGATTCGTCTATCATTTCATGATACATGTATGGGTGGTAATGAGAACACAATGTGTTCATAGTCCATAATTCGTTTCCGAGGTTCATCTAAATATTTGGTTGACCATAAAAGAGTGCCTGGGGACTTTGTGTGAGTTCCGGGAATAGTCGGTAAATCTCTTTAGAGTCTAGCAACAACATGACTAGTTTCTTGAACTTAGTGATTGTGTCACAGATACGGATAGTAATTGGTAACCTGTTCCACAGTAGACTGTATCGTATTACAAGGAAATTACAACGCAATAATTTCTAGTGTTTTGCCTTTAATAGTGTATATGCGTTGTTTCTAAGTCTGTAAGCAGTGTCGTGGTTCATATTTGGGCGGTATTTTACGAACGAAAGACCGTTTATTACTTTATAGAGGAGCATTAGGTTGTTTTTGAGACGACGGCGCCATAGAGGTTCTAGGGAAAGATGCTTGCATCTTTCTGTGTAATCGAGGTTATGGCTCAATCCGAGCAGTCGCAGGGTGAAGCTTCTTTGTACATTTTCTACTCGCATTTTGTCCATGTTTGAAAATATGAGTGAACAATATTCAAGTGTGGGCCTTATACAGATTTTGAAGAGAGTAAGCTTAGCCTCACTTGTGAAGAAGTTCTTGTTTATCAACCCACTTAGTCGTCTAGATTTAGAGATAATATTTGAGGCATGTTCTTCGAATTTTAGGCTTTTAGAGTAACTAATACCAAGGTCGCGCGCAGATATCAGTGTCTGAACTCCACATTTTTGTAAGTAGAGTGGTGTATCAAGGTGATGCTTGCTAAAATGCATGATGCCACATTTGTTGTGGTTAAACGGCAGTTGCCATGTCTCGCTACAGGTACTTAAGTTATCAAGATCACTCTGAATCTTAGCTATATTTTCGTCCAGATCTTCAGGCTTATAGCTGTATACTATTTTCAGATCATCAGCATATAAGTATGCTCTTCCAAATTTAATAGTATTACATATGTCATTTATGTACATTAGAAACAAGAGTGGACCTAAGACACTTCCCTGGATAACCCCACTGGTTATTGGTCTTGGTGATGAAAGACAGTCGTTGTACTGTATCATTTGTTGTCGCCCATTTAGAAATGAAGCTAACCATGAGTGTAGTGGGTTGATGATTCCAAATGACTTCAGTTTAAGTAGAAGCCTTTTGTGTGGGATTTTATCAAAAGCCTTTTTAAAATCAAAGAAAAGGACTGATACCAGAAGCCCTTTGTCTTGTTCATTCGTGATATCGTTGAAATAATCTAACAGACATGTATCACACGACCTGGACCTCAAGAACCCATGCTGTGAGGTCGATATCAGATTGTTACTAAGTAGATGTTGTAGTAACTCTGCCTTAACTATTTTCTCCATGACCCGAGATACTACCGAAGTTATGTTTATAGGTCGGTAATTTTCAACGTTCGCTGTAGGCCCAGATTTTATTGTGGGGATGATATGTGTAGTCTTCCAGTTATTAGGGTAACACTCTGTGGAGAGAGATATAGTAAATAGTTTGAGAAGAATAGCACTCGGATCATTGCTACCATTTTTTAGCATGCTGGCAGGGATGCCATCTGGTCCTTCAGTGTAGTAATCGCCTTAGAAATGTTCTGTACACTAAATTCAACACTGGCGATTTCTCAGGAAGAAGTTTGGGTCAGGTGTGACTCATTTATTGAGTTTTCGTTTGTTAATGAGGCACAAAAATGTTCGCTAAACAACTCTGCGATACTTTTAGGGTCGCCATACACTTGGTTGTCCCTAATAAATATGCTCCCTCCTTTCACTTTGGAGCATTTGAGTTTATTCCGAAGGAGTTTTATGAGTTCAGAGGATTGATTGTTCAGCTGAACAGCACTCTTTTCCTGTGCGATTGCCATTTTAGTACGTGTTATTTCTGCCTCGACACATATTTCAGTCATCGTCCCGTCTTCTTTATTCCTCTTTTTTCAGAACCTTATTCCACTCCTCATATATTAGTCTGGATATTTGCAGTAGACTTGGTTACCCTACCCAAGAACATGTAAAATCATTAGCTGATGAATATCAATCATACCTTTGTACATTTACCGCATCAATTCTTGTTATATGCAAACCTATCTCTACCATGAATCGTTTCTCAGTCCATAAGATGATTGTCGTAACGCAACCTTCGTAACTTGCGCCAATTATTCGTATTGAACATTCCATCTTTAATAACAATGAATCTTGTGAAATGTTTCAGTGACTGTATACCATTTTAAAAGAAATATGTTGCTAATCTTAACATTTTGATCTTGCCTGTAAATTGGCATGTCTCTTGTAACATGTTTGTTATTTGAGAATAAATTATTATTATTATTATTATTAATGAGAAGAAGTTATTACACTTATGAATTCTGGAAGCATGTCTTCGAAGACGTTTTCGTATATGACCTGGCATAAATAAGTCCTTAGGAATTCTGGGTCTCCAGGATTCTAAAGGTGCAAATTTGTTGAATATGCTATTTGTGTTGTGATAAAATACATTTATTAGTTCATCAGTATTGTTTGCAGTAAAGTAGTTTGTCCAGTCAATGCTTCTGAGGCAGTTACTGAAGTTTGACCAATCAATCCTACGAAAGTCCCTACGAAGTGTAGTGGAGTTATGCTTTACAGTTGTAGCTCCTATATCAAGGCTGTATATGACCATATTATGATCGCTACCTGGGAACTTTTTTCCAACATATACAGTGTGAGGAATGAGATTGCTGGTGAAAACCAAATCCAATGTATTTTGATTTCTGGTTGGGCCATTAACATGTTGAGTCCACTCTCCAAGCTCTAAGCATTCAATAAATGATTCGAATCGTTTAGGTGCTTTGATTGGGAACCAAGTGATTTCAGGCATGTTGAAGTCCCCACAAATAGCCTTGCTTGTGAACCGTAGGGATGAAACAAATGTGAATACTTCTGACAATAATGCTAGATCTCCTGTTGGTACATTAGGCTGTCGGTAGACACAGCCGAACAGTAAGGAAACGGCATTTGACGGTTTCAGAACGATCCACACAGATTCTGGCAATCTATTTAGTTCATAACACAAAAATATATACATGGAGGGATTTTCCAAAAAATAAAACCTTCAAAATAGATTGTACACATGTATCTGCTTCAGCTTCTACATGAGCAGGCTTACAATCACAATGCATCCAGTTAACCATGTTTGTTGTCTCATTTAAGCAAATTATATGTCCGTCCAACCCGCCTTTAGACTCAGTACAGATGTTATCCTAAGTCGAAATTCATTATGTCGACCACTCAAAGCGGTGTATGACGAGCCCATATAGCACTCTATGAGAATCTAGGTACTGTACGGATGATTGAATGGAAGTAAGTAGATCTGCATTTACCAGCTAAGAGCCTCCCACATGGAGGAAAACCACTTTTCTGTCAGCCACTCCAACATGAGCCAGAGACAAAAACATTACGACTAAGAGGCAATCTCAAATCAGTAACGACCACAACGAAACTTTACTTGCTTCTGGAAGTGACCTAGAACGACTTGCTGGCAGGAACGTGAAATTTCCAGAGTATGTAGTAGACTACTGTGTGAAAGATTTTCAAAGCTTATTTTCCTCCCCGTGTCCTGCAACTCGGTATTTGAACTTTCGATTTTCAATGTATAGAAACCAAGAAGGATTTTTATACTCACATATATCTTATGAAAATAAAACAAGTTGAGTTATTTTCAATGTGCTTGTAAGTGCATATAATTTTAAACTGAGAAAACCTTTCGTGTGATGCATTTATCACTGTCCCATGGTTCATATGCGCACATAAATACCTGGTTTTGTTTTCGTACGCTTTGCCCGCTTACATAATATATGATATAATACATATAATATATTTCGACATGATTTACACCCTGATGTTCTTTTCTATTACAGGACTACCGGAAAAGGCTAAATTCAAATGAAAACAAAGAATTGACTTTCGGTTTACATTTATATATATTTTGTGTACTTTATGGCTGTTTAGAGTAGTAGAGGTGTTTACCGACGTCATGCAAGCTGAATCACCTCTTAGGTTTTTCACTACTTCACGACGGAGAGAGAGTGAGCTGTATAGGTGATAAATAGTTCTGTAGGTCTTCAAAATTGATTCTGGCTTCATCAATTTTACTGGATACATCGGACCACCTTTGGATTCATCACTCAACACATCTCACATCAACAAACAAGCTTGGTTCATTTCCGACAAACGATCAAAGTACCTTCGACCCTCCTCATTCTTGACTGGTGGTTTGATTTGGTATTTATCTTCAAGGTATTTTGGACAAACTCTTTGTTCATCTCTGAATATCTGTGACATCTTTAAACTCTGATGACTTCCATGGACTAATCTATATATCTACAACTGTCCTTAAGCGTCACGAAACATGCTCATAATACAATTTGGTCTGCGACTCACCGGAAAACTTGCTTCATCTCCCAGTCAAAATACGAAACTGTTTTTTTTCACGACCATTTGAACTATTTATGCTAGCCCGTCAAGCGAAAGCTTCTATTCAGCCCGCAAACTTTTGGACCCAACCTCTGATCACTTCTAACTTCCATGAATCACACTCAATATTTAACGAACATACACAGTTCTTAGTATATTCCTACAAAGCGCTACTGAAATCCATAGAAAAGTGAACCTATCACTGCTTGAGTATGACAGGTTTATCCTAGCGCTCCTACTTGATATTGGATATTGTAATGGGTCTAGGATCATTATCATTTCGCGCCCATCTGGGTTATTTCAATTTGTTAGTTACCAACTCTGAGTCTGTTGGCTCAGTAGTTTGTGAGTTGAGGTTGATGCAATTATCTACGTCTGTTATTGATAAAGTAATTAATGATGGTCGTATTTATATCAGGAAAAACTCTAATTTCTAACTTGAAAGTTGGAGTGTAAATATGGTTGAAGTAACGTTAACTAACCCCTTCACATAACCAAGTTGGGAAACTTGACTGTTAAGATACGGTTAAAATCATGTATCAAAATAATAAATTAAACCAAGCATAGGTACCGATTAAGCGTGTTAATCGTGCGTCTGAATGCATACAATGTAAAGCCTTGGAAATATAAGCAATGCGTTTTTATGGCATCTTAAAATCATGTAGGACTCTGTAGCCTCAAAACTAACATAGGACACTTTGGTTTATCGAAAACACGATTCTCAATATCAGGAACAACCAATTTTTATGTGGCTGTTAAAAAATCTACAGTAAAACACCCCGAATTAATCGATATGAAAAAACTGGTTACAATGATAACAACCTGAGTTTGATGCTTTGCATTTTTGAGGCTCATTTTCAGCAGCAAAACAGTAAAAGACCTGCATAACGCAGTTAATACTTCGTTTATCACTTGTTTTCATTATACTAAACAGTTTATGCTTAAAAGAGAGCCCTGAGGTCAACTTTGATTTTTAGTGATACTATGCTCTTAAGTTATATCTTAACTTCATCGAAATTTCACCTTATATTTTAGAGCTTGTGTCGTCTAGTCATACAATGACCGGTCAACGTCGTGCCAGCAAGAGAACCTCTATTCGGAAATCAGATCTGCTTCCAGAAGAGAGGTAAGAACTTTTATTACACCTCATATTTTAAGGACGTTTGTGAATCCGTCAGCCTTGAGCCCCCATATCTTCTGTCCAGTCTGTCAAGAAGCTTTCTGTAACCCTCAACGTGCCCCTTGCGGTCATAGTTTTTGTAAAAATGTAAGTCTAAATAAATGTTTTGAGTGTTGCTATCTATCATACTTCTGGAATTGCTCAAAAAAATAAGGTTTCTAGTGTCTTGCAGACCGCTATACTTAAACCGATTGCATCCCACTTAGTTATTTGTTGCTAGGTTTTTCGGAAAAAATTAATGCATGTGGTTAAGACATATATGTTAGTTTACTAATGATTATCATCTTTAACATGACAGCTTACGATATTGTGAAAAAAGCACAACATATTGTTGATATCAGTTTCTTCTCAGGTCCGCCTGGATTAGAAAATAATTATAACCCTAGTAATACTCCATCGCGACATTATGTACAAGTGGTACTGTAAAGGTGAGTGAGTTGGGAAGTCACTGGTCTGTTTATGAAGTCATGATTTGTCCTAAACATAGTCCATTAGAACACTTGAACTTCCACTGATGGCTTTGTTATTTGCATAGATTAGGAATTGACATCCATATATTAATTCATTGGTTGCTAGTTTGTGTTTTAGTCATATACACATTATTTTGGACACTTAGGATGATTTTAATTAGCCATTTTAAATATTTTAATTGGATGACAACGGTTATCTTTTGTCGAAGTACTAGTGTTGTGTAATTTTTGTTGTTAGTTTTCGTAAATCGGGCTCGTCATTTTTTTTAAACATCTAAGTTGGAGAATGTATGTTACCTTATGTACAACACATTTAATCCCTTTGTTGTAATGATTAGTTCCCAATAATTGGGATCACCAATGACTGTAACCTTCCTCTTACATTGCTATCTTAAAACAGCTTAGTTGTTAGTATCTAAGAAAATTGTTTAACATTTGGCGTATAATTTCAATTCTCTACACATTAAATTTATCATCTATACACCAGTTACTTGTCACCTTACGCTAAATGAATATCTGTCAAGCTACCATTTTACGATTACTTTTAGTGTATTGAACCCTGGATCCAGAATACTCCCAACTGTCCGGTGGATCGTAAACCGATCCCAAAAGGATCAATGCATCATGATTTTATTGTGGAAAATATAATAGGTGACTATTTGGTAGGTTGTTTTGTCACATTTAATTTAAAGTATCATACGATTTCTATTTCTGCTATCAAGTATTAACTCGTGATGATTACATTGTCTTTTAGTTTGGGTTCAAAGATATGATTTGAGAAGTATAACTCAGTTAGATAAATTTCGAAAGCGAAGGATAGAGATGCGAAATTAAGGCAAGGATTTGAGAGAACACAAAGAGTGAATGCACCTGCGCCATTGCAAACGGTTTTGAGCCATGTCACTCAGCGTCTCTAACCATCGATCATCATCATTTCGCTGACCCCAACCACGAAGTCGACACCTACCGACATGACTCAGTCCACTTGTTACTGACTTCATGCTTTTGTGCCATGTTTCGGTTTGGTTGTACCTAGCTTTCATCCAAGCTACTCCTTTATCGCAAAACATAGCTCGACGAGACAGGTGGTTAAGCATACGTAACACATGTCCCAACGACCTCAACTGGTGAAGTTCCATTACTTCACCTATTGGCCTGCGATCCTTACCTAGCACCAGTTTCCTAACAGCAGCAGTGCTTACTCGCTTGTCCCAGGATAAACGAGTAATGCTTCAGAGACAACTATGGTCGAAAACCAGTAACCTACGAACACCTACTCTGACTGGCCATGTTTCACGACCACAAAGTAGGACGGAGCGAAGTATTGCTCAGTACACTCGTCCTTTGGTTAGCGAACAGATATCTCGCCTTCTCCATGAGTGACGCAGGTTGTCGAAAGCCAATCGAGCCTTCTGTATCCGTGCTGAGAATTCGTCAGTCACCAGGCTATCGGCACTGGTGAGACTCCCCAGATAAGTGAAGCGGTCTACACGCTCGACTACTTCACTCTCTATCACTAGTTCAGGTGCCGATGCAACCCAATCTTAAAGCAACATTTTACATTTCGAGAGTGAGAACCGCACCCCGAACTTGCATTGTCGCTCAGGGTAGTCAGAAGACTCTGCACTTTGTCAGCGTCTTCACCGAATAGAACTATGCCATCGGCATATTCCGAGCCAACAAGCGATCCTCCTGGTAGAAGGTCCACTCCTGAACATTCAGACGAAGATAATGTTATATCTAGCAGCATGTCTATGGCAAAATTAAACAAGAATGGTGAAAGTAGACATCCCTGACGGACACCAGTTGAAGTAAAGAATTCTGATGACAGTTCGCCATAAGCTCTCACTCGACCAGTAGTGTTCGACTAGAGAGCTTGTATAAGGTTAATGTACTTCTTCGGTACGCCTTCTGATGACAGACACTGTCACAGAACCTCACGATCGACAGAGTCAAATGCCGCCTTGAGGTCGAGGAGCACAACTATTGTCGGACGGCTAAATGTGTGTCTGTGTTAGAGGACCTGTCGTAGTGTGAAGATGTGGTCTATATAGCTACGCCTAGGTCGAAAATCAGACTGGTTTTCTCGAGTCTGCTCTTCACAAGCTCCAGTTAGGCGTCTAAGTATAATCGAGGTTAACAATTTAGGAACTATATTAGTTAGTCTAATTCCCCTGTGATTGTCACAAGAGGCCCGACCGAAGCTGCTACCTTGACGTGGTGGTCGGGCTTGCCTATCGTGATGACCCAACCGAGCTATACTGGCTAGAACATATGTTCCTGCAGGTCCTACCATGCCAGGCTGGTCGATTGGAGAACGATGAGACTAAAAGCAGCTACCCAAGGTCTGAGGGCGAAGTCGTACTGCTGACTGCAGAGGAGTGTGACAGCAGTAAGGTGTTTCCTTCGGACAACCAGCATCTGCAGCGATGCTGCTTTCTCACAAGGAAGGAAGGGTTAAAAAAGGTCGGCCCCAAAAATGTCACACCTCCCCTAACTCACGGATTTCCGTCTCCCTGGGTAAGGGTGCCCACTAAGGGCTTTTAAGAACGGAGCTAATCCTCTAAATACCTTTCATAAAAAGGCCGTGCGTGACCGGCCTCAAGCAGTTGTCCCTTGGGCTCTGCGATCACGCACCAACACTAATCCATCTTCCTTTTCAGGTCCCTCAACAAGCAACCATCCACGGTGTGGGCAGCCGGGAAGTGACAACCGCCCTCATACCCGTAACAGCACGCGAGACCAAATTGGTCAAAATCAAATCCTTCCTACACCCCCTGATACCTGTCTTATCTCCACGACTAACTCTTCTCACATTCATTTATCACAGTCTTTTTTCTCACTGCACCGCTAATGCAGACGAAGCGAGATCACGAAACGTCGTTCCTGGTCTCTTGAAACCCCGTTCTAGACTACATGTTGGAGCTTTTAATGTACGGACATTGTGTCAAATAGGGCAACAGGCATCATTAGCTAGGACTTTAGAAACTCGTGCCATCGATGTATGCTGCGTCTCGGAAACGCGCATACAGGATCCTAGTAAAGTCATTAACCTGATTCCACCTTGTCAAAACGAAGAAGCAGCCCGATTCACTCTTCGTGTATCCGGTAGCCCTAATGCTGATTCCAGGGGTCTTGCTGGCGTAGGCATAGCGTTGAGTCCTAGGGCAGAATTATCTCTCCTAGACTGGATCCCAGTAGATAGTCGTTTTTGCGCTGTCCGACTAAACGGGACAGTAAGGACTCGTAAGGATAGGGACACTCGCCGTTGCCTCTTCGTCTTATCTGCCTATGCCCCCACTGACTGCAGTGCAGACGAGGTTAAAGATGAGTTTTACAGAGAGCTTTCGGACCTCCTCCAAAAAACTAGGCTCTCTGATATAGTAATAATGGCTGGTGACTTTAATGCTCGAGTAGGTAGACTAGGTGAAAAGGAAAGACATCTAGGTGGATGTTATGGTGTAGCGACTGAGAGAACAGACAATGGAGACCGTCTGTTGCAACTATGCTCAGATCACCGCCTATTCTTAGCGAACTTTAGGCATAATGAAAAGCATCTGTTGACCTGGCGACCTCCAAAGTCGTCTCAACGTTGGACTCAACTAGATCACATCGTCATCAGCCACCGATGGAGGGGTTCGATAGAGGACTGTCGCTCGTTCTGGGGCACATGTTTGGATTCAGATCATGCTCTAGTGCGAGCTCGTATCTGTTTGAGGCTTACTGGGCGTAGGAAAGACACCGTAAGGAAGCCTCTTAGGGTTTTAATTAATGATAATCAAACCAAGAAAATATTTCAGGAGGAACTAGAAAGAGAGTTAAGCAACCATGCAAGTGATTCCCATCCAGAAGCAGGTTGGTATGATATCAAAAAGGCTGTGGAAACAGCAGTGATATCTGCTAGGAAGGTAAACCATAAGCCTAGGATGAAGCCGTGGATTTCAGTCGCATCCACCGAACTGATGGATGCTCAAAAACTCATCTTACCTGGCTCTGAGTGTGATGAAGAGCGGGGTCAGCTCAGGCGCAGACTCATAAAAAGTCTACGTAACGACCGTGAACAGTGGTGGGTGGCGAAAGCAAAAGCGATGGAAAAGGCCGCGGCGATCGGCAACACTCGACAACTTTTCCGCCTTATTAAAGAAACTGGTATTAAGAACCCGAATGTGAGTGGGACTATCTCGAAAAAGGATGGGATTATTATCCATTCTCAATCCAGGAGACTGGATCGATGGGCAGAACACTTTAAGGATCAGTTCAACTGGCCTTCAGCCACTCTTCGGTTGCCCACGATCTCCAGTCATCCTGAATGGCAAATCGACCTAAGTCCCCCTAGTCTTAATGACGTTGATAAAGCGTTAGGAAATCTGAAACGAGGACGAGTTGCAGGTCCTGATAGACTGACCCCTGAGATATTTAAGTATGGTGGTCCAGTTTTAGCAGCTAGGTTGACTGAGATCTTAGGTAGAATCTGGGAACTGGACGTAATCCCATCCGACTGGTCTCAATCCTTGATTGTCCCAATCTATAAGAAAGGACAAAAGCCTTCTTGTGACAATCACAGGGGAATAAGTCTAACTAATATAGTTTCTAAATTAATAGCCCCGATTATACTTAGATGTCTAACTAGAGCCCGTGAAGAGTGGACTAGAGAAAACCAGGCTGGTTTTCGACCTGGACGTGGTTGTATAGACCACGTCTTCACACTCAGACAGGTCCTGGAACATAGACACACATGTAGGCGTCCTACAATAGTTGTTTTCCTGGACCTTAAGGCGGCATTTGACTCTGTGGATCGTGAGGTTCTGTGGCAGTGTCTGTCATTGAAAAGTGTACCAAAGAAGTACATTAACCTTATACAAGCTCTTTACTCGAACACCACTGGTCGAGTGAGAGCTTATGGCGAACTGTCATCGGAATTCTCTACATCAAGTGGTGTCCGTCAGGGTTGTCCACTTTCTCCATTCTTGTTTAATTTTATCATAGACATGCTCCTAGACATAACATTATCCTCGTCTAAATTTTCAATGCAAGCATGTTCGGGATGCGGTTTTCCCCCTCGAAATGCAAAATGTTGCTTCAAGACTGGGTTGCATCGGCACCTGAACTAGTGATAGGGAGTGAAGTAGTCGATCGTGTAGACCGCTTCACTTATCTTGGGAGTCTCATCAGTGCCGATGGCCTGGTGACTGACGAAATCTCGGTACGGATACAGAAGGCTCGACAAGCTTTTGCCACACATGGCGTAGGCGAGATATCCGTTTGCTGACTAAAGGACGAGTGTACTGCGCAGTGGTTCGCTCCGTCTTACTTTATGGCTGTGAAACATGGACAGTGAGAGTAGAAGATACTCGTAGGTTACTGGTTTTCGATCATAGGTGTCTTCGAAGCATTGCTCGTATATCGTGGGACACCCGAGTGAGCAACGCTGTTATTAGGAATCGGGTGCTAGGTAAGAATGCCTAACCACCGACTGCCTCGACGAGCTATGTTTTGTAGTGTAGAAGTAGGTTGGAAGAAAGTTAGGGGCGGCCAAAGCAAAACATGGCAGAAATCCATGAAGTCATTGACTAATGGACTGAGCCATGTCGGTAATTGTCGACTACCTGGTTGGGGTCCGCGAGATGATAATAATCGATGGTTAGAGACCTTGAATGACATGGCTCAAAATCGTTCGCAATGGCGCCGATGCATTTATTCTTTGTGTTCTCTCAAATGCTAATCTTCTGGATTCTTCAACCCCTCTAGTTTCGACTCTCTAAGCTTTTCTCACCGAATCATACTTCTTGAATAGTATCTTCTAACCCTAACCTCTCCGATTACTTCCAATTCCCGTACTACCTCTACTACTATTGGATTTGAATTGACAATTGTATCTCTCTGCTGATGTGGTATGGCAACATGAACTGATGTACAAAGTTCTACGTTGCATCTGACTGACTGACTGACTGACTGTCACAAGAGGACCTTTTTCCTTTCATTTAGAATGGGACAATCAGTGATTGAAACCAGTTGGATGGGATTACGTCCAGTTCCGAGATTCTACCTAAGATCTCAGTCAATCTAACTGCTAAAACTGGACCACCATCCTCACAAATCTCAGGGGTAAGCCTATCAGTACCCGCACCTCTCCCTCGCTTCAGATTTCCTATCGCTTTCCCAAATTCATAAAGACTAGGGAGACATATATCAATTTGCCATTTAGGATGACTGTGGCTAAAGGCTAGCTCAACTGCTCCCTGATACGGCATTCCTTTTCCGAGTTAGTTTCGCAAACGGATGGATTTCTACTACCAGTTTCTTTTATAAAGCCGAAAACTAGTCTAAAGTTGCCGATAGCCACTGCCTTTTCCAGCGCTATATCTTTCGCCACCCACCACCGTTCGCGGTAGTTGCGTAGGCTTTTTATCAGCATGCGCCTAAGCTGATTCCGCCCCTCATCGTACCCAGAACCAGGCGGAATTAACTGAGCACCCATCAGTTCGGTAGATGCTACTAAAATCCTTGGCTTCTCCCTAACCTTATGGTTTACCTTACTAGGAAATATCATTTCTGTTTCCACGGCCTTTTTGATATCATTCCAAGCTGCCTCGGGATGCGAATCACTTACATGGTCGCCTAACTGTTTTTCTAGTTATTCCTGAAATACATTCTTAGCTATACAATCATTAAGTAGAACCCTAGAAGGTTTCCTGGCGGTATCCTTCCTACATCGATTAGGCCTCAAACAAATACGCGCTCACACTAGAGCGGGATCTGAATCTAGACATGTGCCCCAGAACAAGCGACAGTTCTCTATCGAACCTCTCCATCGGTGTCTGTGGCAATGTGACCTAGTTGAGTCTAACGTTGAGACGACTTCGGGGGCCACTATGTCAAAAGATGTTTCTCCCTATGCTCAAAGTTAGTATTTACTATATCGGAGAGCTTGACATTTTGGAGAAGTTTAGAGAGGTTTCTGTAAAACTTATATTTCATGTCTTTTGAACTGCAGTCAGTGGGAACGACGAAGCGGCAACGGCGAGTGTCCCTATTCTCCCGAGTCCGCGCTGTCCCGTTTAGCCGGACAGCGCACAAGCAACCATCTACTGGGGTCCATTCTAGGAGAACTAGTTGTGCCCCAGGACTTAATACTATACCTACGCCAGCGAGACCACGGGAGACAGTATCATGTCTACCAGATACACAAAGAGTAAATCGAGTTGATCCTTTATTTTTCCAAGGTGAAATTAAATTAATGACTTTACTAGGATCCTGTATGCGCGTTTCCGAGACGCAGCATAAATCGTTCGTACGGGATTCCAGAGTTCTAGCTTATGACGCCTGTTGCCCCATTTGGTATAGGGTTTGAGCATTAAAAACACCAATATGTAGTTTAGAACGGGGTTTCAGGAGATCAGGAATAATGTTTCGTGAACTCGAATCGTTTCCATAGGAGGTGCACGGTGATAAAGGAATGTAAGATGTGTGAGTCGTGGAGATAAGGGGGATGTTAGGGTGTGTAGGGAGGGTTTGATTGTGACCGATTTGGTCTGGCATGCATTAACGTGTATGAGTGCAGATGGTACCTCCCGGCTGCTCACACCGTGAAAGGGTTCTGGCTGTCAGAAGGTCCATCGGCCTCGTAACTTCCGAAGGTCTTCGTCTTTTATCCTGAGTTAAAATCATATTCGTCTGACTTTTCAGGAATGGACCTACCTTCAGGAGCACACTTGCTGACTTAGAGTGTGCTGATGACAGTCCTATTCGGTGAAAACGCTGACAAAGTGCAGAGTCTTCTGACTACCCTAAGCGACAGTGCAGGTTCGGGATGCGGTTCTCACTCTCGAAATGTAAAATGTTGCTTTAAGATTGGGTTGCATCGGCACCTGAACTAGTGATAGAGAGTGAAGTAGTCGAGCGTGTAGACCGCTTCACTTATCTGGGGAGTCTCACCAGTGCCGATAGCCTGGTGACTGACGAATTCTCAGCACGGATACAGAAGGCTCGATTGGCTTTCGACAACCTGCGTCACTCATGGAGAAGGCGAGATATCTGTTCGCTAACCAAAGGACGAGTGTACTGAGCAATACTTTGCTCCGTCCTACTGTACGGCTGCAAAACATAGGCTGTATGAGTTAGAGACATTCGTAGGCTATTAATTTTAGATTAAAGATGTCTTCGAAGCATTGCTCTGATATCCTATGTCAGCTGAGTAAGCAACGCTATTGTTTGGAAACGCTTACTAGGTAGGAATGGCAGATCAATAGGTGGAGTAGTGAAACTTTATCAGTTGGACACACGTAACAAGTGTCCCAATAACCGACTGCCTCGATGACCTATGTTTTGTGTCAGTGAGTCATTTATGGTTTTCAGTTAGCAATGTTTTACATACACTTACAAAGATACACTTTATGGAATTCAGTACGTTTATTATTGATTCAGTGGCAGCAATATCTGTTTTTGTTCTATTACCATTTCACTATTCATTTTTGTAATAAATTAATTTTTTCTTCAGGTCGCGTGTCCTTGGCGTGCACTGGGATGCGATTTCGTTGGCGAGTTATACCTTTTACCTAGTCATAAAAAAACATGTGTCATGAATCCAAGTTCTATGCCTCCAGCTTTACGTTCTCGTACAACAGCTTCCTTGAGCAAAGCTAGTAATAATCAATCTCTAGATCCGAATTCTTATAAAAATAATCAAAAGTCATCAGTTAAAGACGGTTTTGTGTTTCAATCACAACTTCCCTCAAATACAATCACGACGGCAGAGAGAATTATTGATGGAAATGAAGGTTCAAGTAGTCAAGGTAATAGTATCGAGTCAAGGACTGGTTCGAGTTCCTACGATGATGCTCATGAAGAAAGTGTTATATTCGTTAGTGACGATGAAGCTGATTTACCGCCTGCTCCACCACCTAGTCTCTTACATCGATTATATCATAATTCTGATGCAGATAGTCGTGATTTATTATGTAATTTTATACAAAATAATTCGAATACTACAACCCAGTCCTCTAGTACTAACAATAATAAGAATAAAAATGCTCCTAATAAACGAGGACGTAAGAAGTAAATTAAATTCACTTCTGTCCTGGTTGATTCCTTAAAGCATTTCAAATTTGTGTTTTATCTTGTTTAAAGTACATTTATAAAAACAAATAACCCGTTTTCTTTGACACGTCGTTGGAAAAACTCCGTTGTGTTTCAAGAAATATATATGTACTCCATAAGAATTCTTGCAGTAAATCCAAACATACTGATGTATATTTTGTTGATCATGTTATGTCAGCTCAGTTGAATTGCAACAAACTGAAACCTTGGCGGCGCCCAGGCAACACTATTTAAGGGATACGACAAGGTGTGTGTTTACATTTTTAGTTTTAGTGTATCCTTCACTCTCTGTGATCATGGATACCAAGTTAGTCTGAACTGAATGAACTGTGTTTGCTTTCAAGTACACGTATTACATGTACGAGTCTGATCTTCTGATTATAATATGCATGCATTGATGTGATAATATTTAATATCATCGAAAAGTTTCTGCAAATCATCATACCGTAAATACTCGTTAATTTTACATTTCTATCACTGAAAAACTTTTGGCTAAAACATCTTTTAGTAGTTAGTAGACTAACCATGTAAAAAGTGAACATACATTCACAAAACGGTCTTTAAGTAAAGTCTTTAGGATATGAAAAGTTATATCAAGATCTCATGAAATATATAATCTACATAGTTAATTTCCAGTTGTAACAAGGATGTAAGACTACAAGCAACTTAAGTAACTTCAATTATAATGTATTATATCATCTAGTTTCTAATGAAAAAACAATCATCTGTTATATTTCTGACCCACTAACAGGTTTATACACTCGGTTTTGGATCACACTTTTCTGTACGAGGGCTAATAAAATCATTCAGTAAACAATGGGGTTCAAACGTTCTATTCAGTTGTCGTAAGTCACGCTTTAACCAACTAGCAACCTCTCTAAACTGTTTGATATACTGTAAGTTTATGTATCGTATTCTCAAAGTAGACATTGACCGTAAGACTTCCGAAGTTCATTACCCGAATCCATTCTCGCTACTTTTTATCGCATCTATCTTTTCGATGCAATGGGCAGGATTTGGGCCTAACAAGTCCTAAGTCATTCAAAAGAGAGCAGCATACAAAAATGACGTTATTAGTATCTAGTCATGTTATTTTTGTATTAATTTGTATGTTAGCATTTTGTCTTATTGAATAAAAAGTTTCTACTGGCTAGTAGTTTTGTCTTTGATACCAGTTCATTTAGAGGTTCTTGTCAATAAGCCAGTTACATGAACAATCATCACTCGACCACAACATTGTTATATTTATCACTCGGCATTCTGTTAATCTGTTTGATCATTTACAAAATTCGTCTATCAAATTATAATGGAAAACACCTCATATACCCTTTCGGGTAACGAAAATTCGTATAGTATTATGCAGTTATTCTTAGCAATCAATGGACTGATCAATGTTAATACTAAAAGGCATTATATCTCCGAATGGAGTTTGTTAATTTACAGAGCTTCTTTGCTCTATATCCTTGTATTTTTGAGTGCTCACTTAAGCTTGCCTAACCCCATGAGCAAACTGCGGGCCAGGGGTCTTCAAGCTACTTCGTCCTGTGTTCTCCTTGCTGTTAGTATCATGTCGTAATCCCCTGAATATTCAAAGTTAGGGCTTGCAGTATGAAGCAGTTTGCTGGTTTCCTTAAACTGTTTTCTTTCCATATCCGGAGTCTTTTGCTGGTTTGCCATAGTAAGTTGTTGCTGATGGAGCTTAGCCAATGGATCTGTAATATCTTGCGTATATACAGTCCAATATGCCTCAACTTTTTGATGATAGTGGAAAAGCTCTAAGTTCCAGCTCCGTAAATTAGCTTCTTTCTGACGTAAATGTTGGCTAACTGTTCTTCTGAGTTTCAGATATACTTCAGTTGTGGAAATGCTGTCTCTGCTGTGCTCATTACTGCCTTCATATTTTCTTTGGATACTCGTTTTTACGATATTTCCCAGACGTCTAAAATTTTTGATACTCTCTCATCGATTATTTGATTGGTGCTCACTGTTGTAATCAAAAATCCTGCTTTCCCCTTGTGAGTACCGAGGCTAATAAGCCACTCTTACACGTTTTACCATGTATGCGATAATAAGACTAAATCATTTTTGAAGTGAAAATTATCCATCTGCGTCTAAGGTGTCCACTGTATATTGTGATTTTATTGAGATGTGAATATCCTTATCTTACATCTTTCTCTGCTGCAGTTGTTACTAACTTCCTCATATTTCTAATGCTCCTCTTCACTCGTTTCTTTGCTTCCTTAGATCCAACCTGTCAGAGGTTTCTGCCGTTACTTCTCTTTTCTTTATAAGGCATGTCTACGATCCTTTGGCATCCGGTGAGTATGATGGTGCCGGTTTCTTCAAATAGCTCTACTCTGATTTGTTTTTCATATTAGTCCCTGAGTCCTTACAGTCTACTATCCTTCCGTACGAGCTCTTTAGCTGTATCATACAGCTTTTTATGCTTCCTTTTATTGTATATGTAATGCTTCGCCTCAACCCCCATCCGTGGCTGATACCTTGAGGTGATGGTCGGGCTTGCCTATCGTGATGACCCAACCGAGCTATATTGCTGACCGTAGAGAGATGTGGGAGAGGTAAGATGTTCCCCTCAAACAAACGGGATCTGTAGCGATGCTCCATTCCCACAAAGAAGGGAGATGTTACATAAGGTTGACACTACGAATGTCACACCTCACGGATTTCCGCCTAATGCAGAAACGGCCGCCCACTAAGGTCTTTAAAGAGCGGATCTAATACTCTAAAAACCTTTCATGAAAAGGCCGTGCGTAACCGGCCTCAAGCAGCTGTACCTTGAGCTCTGTGGTCACGCTCCAAGGTCGTTAAGACTGACAATAATCTACTTTCTTTTTCGGGCTCCTTAATAAACACCATTTCACGGTGTGGGCAGCCGTACCAGCGAACGAGATCAAATTGCTTACCATAAAATCCTCCCTACACACCCTAACATCCCCCTTATCTCCACGACTCACACATCTTACATTCCTTTATCACCGTGCACCTCCTATGGAAACGATTCGAGTTCACGAAACATTATTCCTGATCTCCTGAAACCCCGTTCTAAACTACATATTGGTGTTTTTAATGCTCAAACCCTATACCAAATGGGGCAACAGGCGTCATAAGCTAGAACTCTGGAATCCCGTACGAACGATTTATGCTGCGTCTCGGAAACGCGCATACAGGATCCTAGTAAAGTCATTAATTTGATTTCACCTTGGAAAAATAAAGGATCAACTCGATTTACTCTTTGTGTATCTGGTAGACATGATACTGTCTCCCGTGGTCTCGCTGGCGTAGGTATAGTATTAAGTCCTGGGGCACAACTAGTTCTCCTAGAATGGACCCCAGTAGATGGTTGCTTGTGCGCTGTCCGGCTAAACGGGACAGCGCGGACTCGGGAGAATAGGGACACTCGCCGTTGCCGCTTCGTCGTTCCCACTGACTGCAGTTCAAAAGACATGAAATATAAGTTTTACAGAAACCTCTCTAAACTTCTCCAAAATGTCAAGCTCTCCGATATAGTAAATACTAACTTTGAGCATAGGGAGAAACATCTTTTGACATAGTGGCCCCCGAAGTCGTCTCAACGTTAGACTCAACTAGGTCACATTGCCACAGACACCGATGGAGAGGTTCGATAGAGAACTGTCGCTTGTTCTGGGGCACATGTCTAGATTCAGATCCCGCTCTAGTGTGAGCGCGTATTTGTTTGAGGCCTAATCGATGTAGGAAGGATACCGCCAGGAAACCTTCTAGGGTTCTACTTAATGATTGTATAGCTAAGAATGTATTTCAGGAATAACTAGAAAAACAGTTAGGCGACCATGTAAGTGATTCGCATCCCGAGGCAGCTTGGAATGATATCAAAAAGGCCGTGGAAACAGAAATGATATTTCCTAGTAAGGTAAACCATAAGGTTAGGGAGAAGCCAAGGATTTTAGTAGCATCTACCGAACTGATGGGTGCTCAGTTAATTCCGCCTGGTTCTGGGTACGATGAGGGGCGGAATCAGCTTAGGCGCATGCTGATAAAAAGCCTACGCAACTACCGCGAACGGTGGTGGGTGGCGAAAGATATAGCGCTGGAAAAGGCAGCGGCTATCGGCAACTTTAGACTAGTTTTCGGCTTTATAAAAGAAACTGGTAGTAGAAATCCATCCGTTTGCGAAACTAACTCGGAAAAGGAATGCCGTATCAGGGAGCAGTTGAGCTAGCCTTTAGCCACAGTCATCCTAAATGGCAAATTGATATATGTCTCCCTAGTCTTTATGAATTTGGGAAAGCGATAGGAAATCTGAAGCGAGGGAGAGGTGCGGGTACTGATAGGCTTACCCCTGAGATTTGTGAGGATGGTGGTCCAGTTTTAGCAGTTAGATTGACTGAGATCTTAGGTAGAATCTGGGAACTGGACGTAATCCCATCCAACTGGTTTCAATCACTGATTGTCCCATTCTAAATGAAAGGAAAAAGGTCCTCTTGTGACAATCACAGGGGAATTAGACTAACTAATATAGTTCCTAAATTGTTAACCTCGATTATACTTAGACGCCTAACTGGAGCTTGTGAAGAGCAGACTCGAGAAAACCAGTCTGATTTTCGACTTAGGCGTAGCTATATAGACCACATCTTCACACTACGACAGGTCCTCTAACACAGACACACATTTAGCCGTCCGACAATAGTTGTGCTCCTCGACCTCAAGGCGGCATTTGACTCTGTCGATCGTGAGGTTCTGTGACAGTGTCTGTCATCAGAAGGCGTACCGAAGAAGTACATTAACCTTATACAAGCTCTCTAGTCTAAAACTACTGATCGAGTGAGAGCTTATGGCGAACTATCATGAGAATTCTTTACTTCAACTGGTGTCCGTCAGGGATGTCTACTTTCACCATTCTTGTTTAATTTTGCCATAGACATGCTGCTAGATATAACATTATCTTCGTCTGAATGTTCAGGAGTGGACCTTCTACCAGGAGGATCGCTTGTTGGCTTGGAATATGCCGATGGTATAGTTCTAGTCGGTGAAGACGCTGACAGAATGCAGTCTTCTGACTACCCTAAGCGACAGTGCCAGTTCGGGGTGCGGTTCTCACTGTCGAAATGTAAAATGTTGCTTTAAGATTGGGTTGCATCGGCACCTGAACTAGTGATGTAGTGAATGAGAACACAGGTGGAGGCAACCGAATTGTATTCAGCGAAAATTACAGAGTTACTCAGTAAAATCGGAAAACCATATCGTAAATCGTTCATTTGCAAAAGATCAGTTCATCCTATGGAACTGGATTGTTCCTGTTGCAAAACATCACTCCATTGTCACTATACATGCGTTTCATACAAATTCCATTGTTTTCTAACTCTTCCTTTATTGATCTTCCCCCCATATTATGCTACCAGACTTTACGTTGACACTCACGCCATATACTACTTATAAGTAGTTCGCACCACAGTGATAGAGAGTGAAGTAGTCGAGCGTGTAGACCGCTTCACTTATCTGGGGAGTCTCACCAGTGCCGATAGGCTGGTGACTGACGAATTCTCAGCACGGATACAGAAGGCTCGATTGGCTTTCGACAACCTGCGTCACTCATGGAGAAGGCGAGATATCTGTTCGCTAACCAAAGGACGAGTGTACTGAGCAATACTTTGCTCCGTCCTACTTTGTGGCCGTGAAACATGGCCATAGCTGTCTCCGAAGCATTACTCGTTAATCCTGGGACAAGCGAGTAAGCACTGCTGCTGTTAGGAAACTGGTGCTAGGTAAGGATCGCAGGCCAATAGGTGAAGTAATGGAACTTCACCAGTTGAGGTCGTTGGGACATGTGTTACGTATGCCTAACCACCTACTGTCTCGTCGAGCTATGTTTTGCGATAAAGGAGTAGCTTGGACGAAAGCTAACCGGACCAGGTAGAAAAATGATAAAATAACCGATCGAAATTTTTAATTTGCGAGGCATGTTTTTGGTGGTAACGGTTGTCTGAGCGATCTGTTGATTGATCCGAACTAATGATGCCGTTAATTATCTCTTGTCTACTTTAGCTACACATGTTTAATTGAAATCCACAAACTAATCCAACTTAATCTACTTTCAGCGTTTAGGATCCTGTCGGATAGATAACTATAAGTGATCGGTCGCCAAGGAGTGACGGAAGTTGTTTGTTCTGTCATTTAGTTTTAATCGGATTCTACCGATATAGTCATACATGGGGACAGTCAAGGCTCGAATAGTTTAGCGTAAACGCCTCCGACTACGTAGCTGGGAGACATGATTTCAAGTTCCACAGGGATCACCAGTTTTATGAAGATCACAGCTATCTGTTGACTATGCTCCTCATCTGACACGAAACCTTAGACCTGGTATGGTTGTTGGCTTTTCCATGAACATAACAAACAACTGAAATAATAATTTTTGTAAAATTGCGCCAATCAGGATGTTTTTAAAAGTGTCGATTCATGGAATATTCGTTCACTAGAATTTCAAGTCACTAAAGAAAATCAAAAGTTGTCAACTCAAGCAAATGGAATCTAGAAAATGTTTGTGCACATAGAAAATTACTTACTTACGCCTGTTACCTCCAATGGAACATGGGCCACCCACCAGTTTCCGCCAACCAACTCTGTCCCTAGCTTCCCTCTCCAGTTCTTTCCATTTTTCGTTCATTCTTCTCGTCTTTCTTTATTTCTCGGCGTAATGTGTTCCTTGGCCTTCCTCTTTTCCTTTGACCTTGAGGGTTCCATGTGAGGGCTTGTCTTGAGACGCAGTTCGGTGCTGTTCACAGTGTGCCCTATCCACTTCCACCGCTTCTTCCTGATTTCTTCATCCACTGGAATCTGGTTTATTCTTTCCCACAGTAAGTTGTTGCTGGTCGTGTCCGGCCAAAGAATCCAAAGTATTTTGCGTAGACAACTGTTAATAAACACTTGTATCTTCTGGGTGATGCCTTTCGTAGTTCTCCAAGTTTCCGCTCCATACAGTAGAACTGTCTTGACATTTGTTCCAGATATTATTCAACTGTAGAAATGCAGACCTCGCTTTGCCAATCCGAGCCCTCACATCTGCATCGGATCCACCTTGGTTGTCGATGATGCTGTCCAGATATGTAAAGGTGTTAACGTCCTACTAGGCATCTCCATCAAGAGTGATTTGGTTGGTGCATGTTGTGTCGCATAGGAGAATTTTGCTTTTTCCTTTATGTATGTTGAGATCTGCTACTGCAGAGGCTGCTGCTACACTGGTCGTCTTCTCTTGCATTTGTTGTTGCGTGTGCGATAGAAGAGCCAGATCATCTGCGAAGTCCAGATCATGCATCTGCATCCTGGCTGTCCAGTTGATACCGTGCTTCCCTCCAGATGTTGACGTTTTCATAATCCAGTCGATGACCAGGAGAAAGAGGAAGGGTGAGAGTAAGCAACCTTGCCTGACACCGGTTTTCACCTCGAAAGAGTCTGTTAGCTGTCCTCCGTGTACGATTTTGAAGTTGAATACATCATAAGAGTTCCGTATGATGTTAACTATTTTCTCAGGCACGCCGTAGTGTCAAAGAAGCCTCCACAGTGTTTTCCTGTCCACGCTATCGAATGCCTTCTCGTATTTTTGCAGTTACTTCCACGTCTGCTTTCATTGCCTCTGTTGAATGTTGTCTGGTCGTGCTGATTTGCCGCTCTTGATTTGTCTGATGGCCATACTGATCTCAATTGTAGGTGCGCCAATATAATTAGGAGGTCCGTGGATGCTTCGATGTTGGGTGTGTTCAGTGGAGCTGGTCAATTCATTAGTTCCTTAAAGTGCTCTACCCACCTATTTCGCTGTTGTTCAGTGTTGCTGATTACTTTGCCTTCCTTGCTTTTCACTGGTCGTTCTAGTTTACTATGGTTTCCAGTGAGCTTCTTTGTTGTATCGTAAAATTGCCTCAAATTTCCGTCCCTTGCAGACTTTTACGCCGTCATTGCTAGATCTTCCACATATTTTCGTTTGTCAGCTCTGATGCTCTTCTTCACTTCCCTGTATGCAGCTTGTGCGGTAACTTTCTCTGCTCTTGTTTGGCTGACATTGACTGCTGCCCTCTTGTTCCTCCTTTCTTCAATGTTTTCAAGAGTACCAACAGATATTCATTCCTTGTGATGGTACTTCTTGTGACCCAGAACCTCCTGACGTGTTGAAGTGATTGCCTCTTTGATCCCTTTCCAATTGTTCTCCAAGGTTGTTTCCTCTCCATTGAGTAGATCTTGAAAGGCCTGGAATCTATTGCTGAGGGCTATATTGAATTCGTTGACTTTTACGGTATCCCGAAGAAAGGCTGTATTAAACTTGTGTGATGTCGTTTGCCCGATTGTCTAGTGCTTCCTTAGTTTCGGTTTCATTTCGGCGACCAGCATTTATAAAATAACAAGACATAAACCCTAAGACCCAAGCCAAATATCATAAATCAAATCTAAAGAAGCCTACCATGGGCTTAGAAAGCAAGCCCCATCCTGTAATCTTCCTAAGATTACAGGAAACATTGTTTCTACAGCTTAGATGTAGAATCACTTGACAAGTTAGAAATAATTATGGGAGCAAAACATTTTTGATAATTTATGTTGAGTTATTATGGAATTTCTAATTATATAAGGGCCACTAATTTGATTGAATCTGGAGTTATCTCTTAAGATTTTTCCTGGTAGCGGATATTCTTAGGTGTTTCAATCGACGTAGAAGGTATACCGACTATCTGTTTATTTATACTTTATTTAGATTATAATGAAACTGTTAGTATATATATACTACAAGAGTTACGTAAATGTATGCATTGATCAAAATGAATTCCATTATTGACCTGACTGAATGATCGATCTGGTTGTAGAAATATTACAACTTAAAAGAATAAAAGATTGGTTACTAGATGTAAATAAAATCTTGACGACTTCTGGATAGTGACTAAATTCTCGCTACACAGAAAAGGTACAGTTATTTCACGACTTGAACGTTTTGTTTATTGAATGAATACATAACAAAATAGCAACAAAAGAATCCAGATAATTATGGTAATCGAATAAACTCAGGACTTGTCAATAGAATATTATATCTGGAGTGTGTTTGAAAAAGAAAACATTTAAGATGACTGAAATCATTCAGTTGCTTTTTACAAAACTAGGATTCAACAATCTATGGACCGAGAAACGCAGAAGATATAAATAGATGAACTCGATCAACTCTTGATTGAATTTGATATTGTTAAACATTCAGATAAGGATGGACCTTTAGGGCCATAAGGATCTTCAGGAAGAAGAAATGTATTCCCTGACATTACATATGGAAGGAGTCTAAAAACGTAATGAATTAAAAGGGGAGATTTTTTGGAGGAAAATTGAATTTTTACTAACCAGTGATTTGTACTCAGATAAGTTGAACTGTTGAGATTTAAAAAGGAACAAAATATAAAGCCCTTATTTAAATGTTTTACATAGTTTCTATGACACTGGAGAATTACTGAAAACCAGAAAGAGACATTAATTCACTAAAGACATCAATAAAGAGCTGCACTATATTGCAAATTAACAGAAATTGTGAATCTAAACTGTTACCAACTTACATACCTAAAGGTATCGGTCTCGCAATGAGTAGTGCACATTCTGAGTTTTCATCCCTTTTCGAACTGTGAGTACAATTCCTAAGAACTTTACAACTGGGAAGAAATATTTGTCTAGTGTTCTTTGGTGTTGATTATCAAACTGATGTGAGTTAGCGGTCATGAGATTTCATTATCCTCATAAGATGGAGCTCTCGTCTAGCTTTTTAGTAAATTCGATACATCAGCTCCTTTTCTAAACACCAGTTTCTTCGATATAACATAACCTACAATCAAGATGGAAAGTATCGCTTGCTTACTCACGTTACCCCCAATGGAGCGTGGACCGCCAACCAGCATTCTGTCCTACGCTTCCCTTTCCAGATCCGTCCAAATTTGTGTTCATTATTCTCCTGTCTGCCTCCATTTCTAGGTGTAATGTGTTCATTGGCCTTCATTTTTTCATTGACATTGAGTTCTATGTGAGAGCTTGTCTTGTGACGCAGTTAGGTGCTTTCGGCAGTATAAGTCTTATACCTTTCCAGCGCTTATTTCTGATTTCCTCCTCTGCTGGAATCTATCTGGTTTGTTCTCTCCCTCAGTAGATTGTAGCTGATGGTGGCTGGCCAACCGATCCTAAGTAATTTGCGAAGACAACTGTTAATAAACGCTTGTGTCTTCTGGATGATGGCTTTGGTAATTTTGTTGGTAGTTGTTTCTAGTTCCAGATGTTCTTCAATTGTAGAGACGCTGTTCTTGCTTTCCCGACCCGCGCCTTCATATCTGTATCAGATCCACTTTGCTCATCAACGATGCTGCCTGTTGATATGTTGAAGTGATTGCCTCATTGATCCCTTTCCAGTTGCTCTCCAAGATTTTTTTACGGTATCCCGAAGAAAGGCTGTATTAAACTTCAGTGATGTTGTCTGCCCCGTTGTCCAGCGTTTCTTGAGTCTCAGCTTAATTTTGGCGACCAGCCAATGACGATCTGAGGTTATATCAGCTCTTCTATTGGTTCTCACGTCCTCCATCATCCTTCTGAACTTTTTATTGGTACAGATATGGTGGATTCGGTTATGAGTAGTGTGATCCGGTGAAATCCACGCAGCTGTGTCTATGCGCTTGTGTGGCTCTATTGTGCCACCGCCGATGATCAGTTTGTTGAAGGCACATAAGGTTACAAATTTTTCACCATTTCTGTTCCTTTCTTCCAATCTGTGTCGTCCTATGATGTCTTCATATCCGGTATTGTCCATGTCAACCTAGGCATTTATGTCTCATCAGAACGGTCGAATCCTCTGGTGAGTATCCTCTCGACGACTGACTGCAACCTCTCGTACGATTGATCGTTAACGTCGCTGCTGTAGTCGTAGGTAGGTGCATAGCATTGGATGACGTTCATTGTAATGTCCTATTTCCTTGTTTTAAAAGCATTTCCTTTGTCATGGCCGAATTATAATAACAGTTCTCATGAGGTCATTCTTAGTTGTCCAACCTGCGCACAATGCGTTTCACTGATTCCAAGCACTTCCAGGTTGTATCATTTCATCTTTGCAGCAGTTTGGAACAGTCTTCCGGTCACCTACAGTGTCCGAACATTCCATATACCTAAAAGAATGGTTGCTCTGGTTGTCAGAAGGGGGATCTGCTTCGTGACTACCGAAGGAACTCGGCCTTCATCATGAGACGTAATAACTATCCTGAATAAATATCTTCTAACTCCCAGGATACATTTAAAATGGTTTGAATTATTTTTCATGGTTCGCGTTTTTTAGCCAGTTAGTTTTCTGCGGGATTGGGTTGCCAACCTGATCCCCAACTCTACGCCTTCGTCCAGTCTTGGGACCGGCAAAAGCCCTAGAAGGACTCCAGGCGAAAGGTATCGCAATGGTCTAAAATATTTAAGACTTTGAATCCACCCTGTATAAAATTGCGGGTTTCACGGTGCCAAGTCAGAAAACCCTCCAAGACATTTTTCGCAGGCTTCTAGCCTTTCTACGGTTCTAATCTGTGACACATTTGTGCCGAAAACAAACTCACAGTAAGATATAAACCTCCATTAGATGAAATGAATAAGAATAATATAACGTTTTTTCGCGAAAATTCCCGAAAAGCATATCAACAGATATTGCTGAGTCATTGCACGATACCAATAACAAGTGAATAAAGTCAATTTAATTCAGAGAACTATAGTTTGCTTATACCTCCTTACTTTTCAAGCTATTAGTCCTACTATTACTTACGACTGCATTTGTAAGTCCACGTGTATAAACAATAACGTATTATAGCGAACACGGGTCAGTGTAAATAAAAGCATCGATGTACACTATTAGATGGCTTTTGAAAACACAACAGATTCGGCTTCAGGGAATTCGCCAACAACTCTTCCTAAATAAATCTAATGAAGCAAATTGTAACACTGATGAAAATACACGGTATTTTATCATTAGGCTTGGTGTTTTCTGTAAACCTGAAAAGTGACTGCTTGCATATATACTGTCGCATGGCTAAGATCTTTTAGTGACTAGGTGAATCAATCCTAAAGACCCATTAAATACTATCTATCTACGCAATTTATTAATGAACCGAATAATTTATAGCGATAAAAAATGATTTTATTTGTGGAAATATTAGTAGAAACTAAAAATGAATTCAGTAAGTGTTCGTTTGATAAGATACATTTCGTAGGATTTGCTAAATTCGCAGTCGAATAAACAAGCTACAACTTCGAACAGGTCTAATAACTTTATCTAGCTTTTGAATGAGATGTAGTTTCAGTCTAGTGATGAATGAAAGAGGATACAATTCAAGCTATTGTTTCGCCTTTAACAGAAATATAACGATGTAGGATGGTAGGTACAGTGTCAGTAAAAAAATGGAACGACGGAGACATTTAGTGCTTTTCACGAAATTACTCTAGCTAATGGAAGCCACTTTAAAATTTTCACTTAATTTAGTACAATGAATTAATAAGGCACAGGCTAATGAAGTATAATTTTGATGTCGAAGCTATTAATTTATAACATCTCACCATTTATTCATTATACTAGCTCGAATGATAAGTTGTTGAGGAAATTCGATAACAGCATCGACCATTTTTTGTATTTGTAATTATTTGATGACAGTATCGATTATTGTGTATTTGATTGTGTGTGTGCATGCTCACTCGCTTGTTAAATGTCTAGCCTGTTATCGCCTGACTATAAATACTCAGTCATCCTTCATAGCATGAGAGTTGGCTCACTCGCCTTCTCCGATTCGCTTCTCTTCGCTTGTACGCTCTTCATTCTCATGTCTGCCTGCTTAGATGAATACATGAAATAAATTCATCCGCATAAACCGTCGCAGAAACGTGGTTTGCCAAAGTATGATAATAAATGGAAGGGAAAATTTATTTCACATACGCGATCATTCGTCTAAACGGGCGTCAAGTTACGGGCAACTAATTTGGTGAGCCCTATTTCGAATTTAACTCAGCCACTGAAAACGAATACCACTCATCATCTGAAGTCCAGGTACGTTTGCGGAGTTAAAAACGAGTGCTATATTTACTAGGCTACCAATCCACTTTATTGACCGTACTTATAAAATATCATAAATGGATTCGTTTGACTGGCCGATTTAAGTACAGAAAGTATCAAAATTAAATCACTTACCGTGTTGCAATCAGTTCTTTGAATTTAGCATTCTCGGACATAAGATCACGATATTGATCATTGGATACAATGACTGCATTCTTATCAGCTGCCAACTGCAAGATTATGCTGGGCATTCACAGATATATAGACACAAATTTTTAAAAATAGAAAAGTTTAACTTGTTTATCATTTAAAAACTATGGAAACTGCTTAACTTTGGTAAGTAATTTTGGAATCACTGTTACTTTTAGAGGTTGTGTATTTTAAAAGTTATAATCGCCAGTGAAAATCACTACCGAATCACTTTTTCCTACCAATCTGGGTTTAGCTAGATGTTGTGTGGTGACGGTAACATTCATTTCAATGAATGATAAACCATTCTTTAACGTCTCTGGTTTTTCGAATTCGAAGATGTCACCCATTTAGTAGCAGAACTAGTATTTCCATCTAGATATCTAGTGTAAGGCCGTGAACGCACAGTTCCTAAAAGCCTGAACCGAATTTAATGTTATGAATTCCCTTATTTTAATAATTTTCAGCATACCGTTAGCTATCGATACAAAAAACTTCGAACGGAACACTTAAGAGAGATTCTCTACCTAAAACAACAAACGGATCTAACGATTTAGGATTTATACATTTGTTTCTCATTGGTTGTGCTGAAGTCAGTCAGTCAGTCAGATGCAACGTAGAACTTCGTACGTAAGTACATCAGTTCATGTCACCATACCACATCAGCACAGAGATGTATCTGTCAATTCAAATCCAATAGTAGGAGAGTTAGTAGGGGTATTAGAAGTAATCGGAGAGGTTAGGATTAGAAGATATTATTCAAGAAGTATGATTCAATGAGAAAAGTTTAGAAAGTCAAAACTAGAGGTGTTGAAGAATCTAGAAGATTAGGAGTTGAGAGAACACAAAGAATAAATGCACCGGCGCCATTGCAAACGAATTTTAACCATGTCATTCAGGGTCTCTAACCATTGATTATTATCATCTCGAGGACCCCAACCAGGTAGTCAACAACTACCGACATGACTCAGTCCACTGATGAGACTCCCAAGATAAGTGAAGCGGTCTACACGTTCGACTACTTCACTCCCAATCACTAATTCAGGTGCCGATGAAACCCAATCTCGAAACAACATTTTGCATTTCGAGGGGGAAAACCGCATCCTGAACATGCTTGCATTGTTACTTAGGGTGGTCAGAAGACTCTGCATTTTGTCAGCGTCTTCACCGACTAGAACTATGCCATCGGCATATTCTAAGTCAACAAGCGAGCCACCTGGTAAAAGGTCTACTCCTGAAAATTCAGACGAGGATAAGGTTATTTCTGGGAGCATGTCTATGATAAAATTAAACAAGAAGAAGTAAATTAAATTAAGATGAATTACCACTGTCCCATGTTTTGAACTATCCACAGTTGAATAAAGTAGTACTGGAAGTTTTACTGATTAAATTTACAGTTAAAAGCACTTGTTATTTAAATAGTTTAAATATGGTCTATTTCAGTATTATACCTTTTTTTATGGAGAAAAGAGTAATATTTTCAGATCTAACTTTTTGGTACAATGAAGACAGTAAAATTTTTATCTTTTTCCTTGGGGTCCAGCTCACCACAAAGTCGAAAATTTTATAACATAATATATATTAATGAAGGCAGCTAGCGACTATCGAATGCGAAATAAAAAATGCCTTCCTTGGTGCATTTCAGCAACGAAAAACGAAAATACAAATCTCAAAAACAATAAATAACAAAATATAAAGCACCTTCAACAGTAGAACTGTATCAAACACAAACCTACCGATCATCATAAACTGCTTGTCTTTCTTGATTTAGTGTTCGTGACGGTGTATAAGTTAATAAACCAGAATGCTCTAGTTCATCAAAATAACGACCACCTTTACCTTGATAATGTCTAGGTATCACAACGACTATATCTTTATGACCACGTTTTGTAAAGTAGTCTAAGGCTAGACGAATTCCTTGAACACTGAATTCTTTTTGTTTTCCATGACTGTATAACAAAAACAAAACAAAGCGAAAAAGAAAACACTCGAAAGTGAGAGTCAATAAAGAAATACAAATTTAAATATTATGTCAGTCACATTATAAAATTTATCTGGATGAGATTTATGAATGAATCTATCATTCACAGTTAGTGTACATTGTTTTTAATATTTAATATTTGCTGGACATTTTATGGATTGAATTAGTGATTTTGAACTTCAGACTATGTCATTATCAATTATTTTCAGCAACTGTTCCACCTCCACATAGAACACCTTACCAATGCAATGCTACTGGTCCACAGTCTACATTTATCATCAGAACAGTCGAAGTTCTACAAAACTAATGGAATCACCATTTTATGTTATCGCACAGCTGTTTAGCGATGCTAGTGAAATCCATGACTTCACCCTAGCCATATGGTTTACCTTACTAGAAGATATCACTACTGTTTCCACAGCCTTTTTGAAATCATTCTAAGCTGCCTCAGGGTGGACATCACTTACTACATGGCTGCCTAACTGTTTTTCTAGTTGTTCCTGAAATATATTCTTAGCCATGCTATCATTAAGTAGAGCCCTAAGAGGTTTGTTTCCATGCGATATTTTTCTTGCGTCCAGTCAAACAAATACGCGCTCGCACTAGAGCAAGGTATGAGTCTAAACAAGTGCTCCGGAACGATCGGCAGTCTTCAACAGAGCCTCTCCATTGATGGTGCAAAACTGTTGTTCACGAAGTATAATCCCGGGAAATAAACTTAAAAAGAGATAGATACCGATGATGAGGAATTGAGAGAAGCCAAAGGGTGGATGCACCTGCACCATCGCAAATGATTTTGTGCCATGTCATTCAAGGTCTCTAACCATCGGTTATTTTTGTCTCGCGGACACCTACCAACATGACTGAGTGCAGTTGTCACTGTCACTTCTAGTCGATTGTTTACAGTTACCTTTTCGACATGGCCATGTGTAATCGTTATTTTTTACTTTATGATGTGACGTGGTATGATCTGTTTGTATATAAACAATGTCTGTTTGAAATATAAATGTATTGTCTATGCTAGTTGCTGACTCAAAATTAGGGCTTAAAGAGAAGTATATGAATTGTTGACCAATTGGAACTTGGTTGTTGACTACGGGGGTTATTAGTGGCAAGGGAAACGTATAATTGACCAAATGAGAGCCATCAAACCGTGTACTAAATAGCAGGTGCATAATAAACCAAATTAGAATCATGGTTCTGATTAGTGGCTTGCCCCGTGATATCGTTTAGCAGTCGCGAGACATAAGAAATACAGTTTTTCAATGCATTTACCATAATCGATTTCGTAAAATTCAGTCGGAACTTGATTAGGTTATTTTAATAGCCGGAAGTTGGAAATTTAGTTCTAAAAGAGGGTAAACTCCATAACAGACATACAAATCATGCGGCAGTGTGAGTAAACATTAGAAACGAAGAAGCTCTTGTCTTACAGACCAGTGAATAATTGTAAACTGATAGCTAGTACTAACATTGGTAGTAGTGGTAATAAAAGTAATATTGATAACGATAATCACATGTATAAACGAAACCGTAACTTACGCGAAACTCACATTACTACCGTCAATTATAATGGGTCTCAAGCGAGATTGTAACGATACATCTGACTTAACCTTTTTAGAATTTGTCAATGAAGATAATGAGTCTGATTCACTACCTAAAATATTAAGAAAATTCATTGAATGACAAGTTATTATTACAGCTATTCTTAAAGAGCATAAACTGATAGTGAATAATGATGAATATAATGTGGACAGTCAACTAGTTGTAAATGACTATGAGAATTGATCTTTTTCTGCGTAATGTTTAAAAGGGAGAAAATAACTATAACTATTGACATAACTGAGAACGTAAAATATAACATATTGATATGTGACTATCTCAAGGCGTTGGTGTACAAGTCACCTAAATAAATCACAACTTATACAGTTGTAATACCTAAAATCGTATTATCTCTTCATAAAAGAACTGTTAATGTTTTGCGAAATATTTTTACCAAAGTAAACACACTTCATATTTCTTATATCATATAGCATCAGAACATGTTCACAGGACCATATTTTTATGTTTAAGATGCATGGTGACCTATCCTATCAGTTCAAGTTAATGTAATTATTGTGAAGTAAAGATCTTCTAAGTTTGTGGATTATTAAAATAATGAACAAAATGCTGATCGTTACTGTGTAATGACAGATAAATTCTCATAAGGGTGAGTTGTAAATCCAAAACCTTTGGATGCAATAATATAAAAAGCAATGCAACTACTTTAGTGGTACAGGTTTATTTCTAGTAAGGTGACAAGCTTATATACAAAATACTGAACACATAAAGCAAGATGCTGATGACATTGAAGTAAGCGACCGGGTTGTTAGACTGTCGGTCAGTCAACAAACAAAACTAAGAATTGACCATCAGGTTTTGTTAGTGTACTTTGTATAACATAAATAAATAAGGTAGGAGATGAAGTGAAGAAAAAAACATACCAAAAAACAAGTAGTTTTGGGATATTTGCGAAATACAGATTGAAGCAGTGATAAGCTCTTGTCACCTTGACGAGTAGGTATTAAAAAATACAAGCTGATCGAGCATTACCCTTTGAGTATTTTTGACATGGTTGAAACAGATGGATAATTTGTGAATCAATGGTGTTTTTATCAATCTATATTAAAGTAATAATCATGTTACTTCACTTCAAATATGCTGGTGTATGAATGTCACTGCATAAGTAAAATACATGTTACAGTCAGCTACGTCGATGCGGACTCAAAAACCTTATTGAATGATTGACGTCTCTTGCTCAAGAAGTTATCTGTTCAGTGATGTCAACACATTGGAGTAATAATTCGAAGATATCAACGACCAATTATTCGTTATACACCCTTGGTGGCTATAAGTCACCATAGTGTAGAAAACTCATTATTTTGAGCCTGCTGAGTAGACAATTACTTCACAATAACCATAAATTATAAAAACTTAGTCATTATTATCAGCCATTTGTGTATCGAGATTCAGACGTGCACGATGTGTTGCCTTCGAGTTGACTAGAGTGAATGACGTAGATGAAATATAGAACTATACTACTCCATTTATAAGCATTAACTCAATTGAGTGGTTAATAATGGAATCGAATAAATTAAATATGAAATATGTCGGGGTTACGTATACTTCCTGGATTCTAATATTGAGTAGCAAACAAACAATGAGAAAGTTTTTGAACACACATTAAATGTAATTTAATTTTTATAATCAATGTTCGAAATACACAAAGATAGAGACACGCGCCATCATACGCACAGGTCTAAAGACTTCAGGTGAATAAATGATAAAGCCAAATATACGAAACTATACATATGAATCAATAACATCAAAATATTTCCTCTGTTCAGAAGCTGAACAATGAGTCACCACACTCTCCCTGATGTCCCTGAAGGATTACGTCCCGTCCTAAGAGCGGATAATGGAAAAGTGTTGGGCATCGGGTTGGTTATCCCACTCCGTAGAAAAAAACTCACTAACAAAAGTTAACCAGAAAAAATAATTCAAACCACTGAGTTAGAAATTCTTCATTTACAATGGTGATAACGCTTCATGATGAAAGCTGACATTCTTCGGAAATTACGAGGCTGACAACCCTCCTGACCGCCAGAGCTACCATTATTATAGGTTCATGGAATGTTGACACATTGTGGGAAACCAGAAGAACTATTCAAGTTGCTTCGGGAATGAGAAAATGCAACCCGATGGTGCTTGGAATAAGTGACACTCTCTTCATTCTTGTTTAACTTTGTTGTAGACATGCTTTTGAAGTTAACAATATCCTCATCAGACTTTTCAGGGGCAGACCTACCAGGAGGATCGCCTATTGACCTAGAATATGCCGATGACATAATCCTATTCGGTGAAGACGCTGACAAAATGCAGTCTTCTGACTACCTTGAGAAACAATGCAAGCATGTTCGGGATGCGGTTTTCACCCTCGAAATGAAAAATATTGCTTTAAGATTGGGTTGCATCGGTACCAGAACTACTGATAGAGAGTGAAACGGTTGAACGTGTTGACCGCTTCACTTGTCTCGAGAGTCTCATCAGTGCTGATGGCCTGACGAAATCTCAGCACGAATACAGAAGGCTCGATTGGCTTTTGCCAATTTACGTCATTTATGGAGTAGGCGATATATCCGTTTGCTGACTAAAGGACGAGTGTACTGTGCAGTAGTTCGCTCCGTTCTCCTATATAGTTGTGAAACATGGCCGTTAAGAGTAGAAGATATTCGTAGGTTACTAGTATTTGATCACAGATGTTTCCGAAGCATTGATCGTGTATCCTGGGACAACCGAGTAAGCAATGCTGTTGTTAGGAAACGAGTACTAGGTAAGGGTGGTAGGTTAATAGATGAAGTATTGAAACTTCATCAGTTGAGGTGGTTGAAACATGTGTTACGTATGGCTAACCATCTACTGCCTTGACAAGCAATGTTTTGTGGTGTAGGAGTAGGTTGGAAGAATGCTAGGGGCAGCCAGACTAAAACATGCAGAAATCCATGAAATCACTAACAAGTGGACTGATTCATGTCGGTAGATGTAGGCTACCTGGTTGGGGCCCGCGAGATGATAATAATCGATGGCTAGAGACCCTGCATGACATGGCTCGAAACTGTTTGCAATGACGCACGGTCATTCATTCTTTGTGTTCCTTCAAATCGTAACCTTCAGAGTTACTCGTCACCTTTATCTTTTTCTTTTTAAGTTTATTTCACTAGATTCTACTTCTTCAATAATATCCTCGAACCTAAATCTCTCCGATTATTGCCAATACTTTTAATACATCTGCTACTATGGGATTAAAACTAACAGTTGCGTCTCTGTGCTAATGCGGTATGGCAATCTGAACGGTTGTACGTACGTACGAAGTTTTACGTTGTTGCTGACTGACTGAACGTATCCCGATTTTCTATGAACATGGAAATCGAGTCATAACATAAATATATCTGCACTAGGGTACAACTCGAATTACTAGAAATGAGCTGAGTATAACTGATTAAGTTTTGTGATATTTCTTATTGTAGATACGGTATGAATAACATTAAGAGCAGTAACTATTCACAATATTCATGGTATGATTTACATGACTATTATCCAGATGATACATAGTATAAAATATGCTTCAACATTGATAGATGTCACTAATTGGATGCGCTTTGTCCAACATATTTACCTAGCATATTCATTTATTACGATCATTAATTCTCTGAGTTTAAGGGTGATGAAAAATACACAGAGTTAGGAAACATCGGGAAAGCGAAAAAAGGAGAACAAATTATGCAACACTTACCTTCATTGATTAATTCCGGATTGTCCACTTGAGACTTACGATAGGCCTCTATAAAATGCACATTTTCGATTGCTGAATCAACTAAGCAACTATCAGAGGATATAATCTCTCCAGGTTTTTCCAAAGAAATAAAATAATTTATAAGAGCCAGCTTCACTGTGTCAGTGCACTGTAAGCTATTATAATTTATGGAATACTTCTCACACAATGTCTTTAAAATTGAGATTTTTAAATCGCTTAAATAAACACATTTGATTTTTAGGAATGATTCCAATAGATTTAGAATTTTCGAGAAACGTTTGATTGCAAATGAACATCCTTTAATGATCAATACATTAGATTTTTTAACAATTACAACAATGTTGTACGTTAATTCAAAATGATGAATTATTGTCAGATTACTGAATAATTCCAAACAATCCGATGAAGTAATCGTACTGACTAAAACTGATTCTGGACTAACAAAACGCAGTGCGTAATCCTGTATAAAAAAGATTTACATTACAAATTCAGTAACACATACTTGAGCTGCATTTAATTTGTCTGAAGTTCCACATATTTTAAGTTTATCTTCAGATAATGTTACCGATACACCATAAAAATTTTCAAGTCGATGGAACAATATATCCAGATTTTCGGTAACATTTGGAATCGTAACATAAACTGACATTATGGAGCCTTTGAATCACTTGATATAATATACTAAATACTACAAAAGAAATAAAAGAAAGGCATAAAAGAGCTTAGTTTCGAGGAGACGGTAATTCAACTGTCAAAGATATTCGGTGAATCATCCTCATTGTTTAGTATTCGATATCAGTGCCTAAATCCGATGAAACGCGAAGTCGATGGATATGGGATCCAGGTAGACATCGTCAACAGAGAATGTGGACGGTTCAACGTGCGCTCGTTGACAGAAGACCAATTTAAATACTTAATATTCATCAAAGCTCTTCAGTCACCACAAGACGTTGAGATCAGGACTAGACTTTTGAATCAACTGAATCAAGACCCAAACGTCACACTCAGAACATTGATAGACAGTAAGCGGCTAAAAAGTATGAGACACGACAACAGGTTGATTGAACAGGTAAATCCTGATTTATTCGGCAGTGTCAATGCTATTACTAGGTTGAAAGTTCAGAAGCCGATAACAACTCGTAACAAACAAACGACGGCACGTTGGTTATGTGGCGATTGGCATTATGTACGATTCTGTCCATTTAAGAAGCACAAATGTCAGGTGTGCAACAAACGTGGACATAAAGAAGGTCATTGTCTACTGAATCGTGCGTCTCATCCCAGAAAGAAGACTAAACATAATCGACATGTGGTGAAATAGCTGAGTCTAAATATCTTTATCGGGTAGCTGTTTTTTAAACAGACTTCGACATTCCCAAAAAGTATGTTAACATCCAGATAAATGGCATATCAGCTCGTTTTCAAACTGGCACGGCGTCAGATATCACCTTAGTGTCTAGAAAAACGTATAACTTGCTGGGGAAACCACCAATGAAGACATCTAGGAAAACGGCTAAAAACGCATTAGGTGGTGTGCTAAAACTGGTTGGCGAGCTAAAGTGCAAATTTTCCTTCAATGGAACTAACTGTACAAGAATATGTTATCTAACCAAACGGCCAAACCTTGATCTTCTTGGTCTAGATATGCTAGAAAGGTATCGTGTTCATCATTGGACATCCCAATAGTTACAAAGAAAACAGAAGAAAGGTTACAAGAAAAACTGAAGAGAAAATTTGCCTCTGTTTTTCAGAATAGCCTTGGCCACGTTACCAAACCTATCACATCATGGAGCGATATAGATTGCGAGAGGGGAATGAGAATGATGAAAAACTAGTGGACCTATGTGCTTCCAACATCCGCAAAGGTGACAGCACTTTCCACCAGACACCTAATCACAAAGACACACTAGTTTCACCGGAACACTTTACAGAATGCAAGAAAGATCATATTTGAAGGTGTACAACATTCAGAAACTCCACCCAATATGTGGTGAACAATAGAGGAGCTGAAGTAATCAATTCCGATGACAGTTCGTCATAAGCTGTGACTCCACCTGTAGTGTTCGGGTAGGGAGCCTGTACAATGTTAATATAATTATTTGGTACACCTTTTAATGACAGACAATGCCAGCGATTGACAGAGTAAAATGCGTAGGTTGGAAGAAAGCTAGGGGCGGCCAAACCGAAACATGGCAGAAATCCACTAAGCCACTGACAAGTGGACAGAGTTATGTTGGTAGATGTAGGCTATCTGGTTGGGATCCGCGAGACCATAGTCACCGATGGTTAGAGAGTTCGAACGACATGGCTCAGAATCGTTTTCAATGGCGCAGGTGCATCCACTCTTTGTGTGCTTTTAAATTCTAACCTTCTGAATTCCTCATTATCTCTATCCTTCTCCTTTTAAATTTATCTTACTGAATTATACTTCTTGAATCATATCTTTGCTCCCTAATCTTCTCCATTGCTGCTAATAATTCTACTGTTGCTATTACTCTTGGATTTGAACTGACAGTTCCGTCTCTGTGCTGATGTGGTATGGCAACCTGGACTGATGTACTTAAGTACGAAATTCTGCGTTGTATCTGTCCGTCTGAGTCAAATGCCTTCTTAAAGTCAAGGAATACAACTGTTGTGGGGCTTATGAACATGTGTCTATGTTCTAGGAGCTGATGAAATTGGGATATGTGGTCTATGCATTCACGTCCATGTCTGAACAAACCCTGATTTTCTTGAGTCCGCTGTTCACGAGCCTTATTTAGGCGTCTTAGTATTATTGAAGCTAATATCAGAGACACTACATCTGTTGAACTGATTCCTCTGTGACTGCCACAAGAGGACTTTTGACCTTTTTTATAGATTGGGACAATCAGTGATTCAGACCACTCGGATGGGATAATGTCCAGTTCCCAGATTCTACCTAAGATCCCAGTCAATCTAACTGCTGAAACTGGATCACCATCCTTAAAAGTCTCAGAGGATAGCTTGTCTGGGCCTTCTGCTCTCCTTCACTGCAGATTGATTATAGCCTTTTCAGTTGGAAGACCTATAGTGATCTGCCATTTACATAGATTAGAGATGGTGGGTATCAAGTATGAACGACGGCTAGTCGAACTGTTTCCTAAATTATTCGGTCGATCAGTTATATCCTAACTGATAGTGAACAAAGTCCCGTCTTCTGAGCGTCTCACCAACAACCGGATTTATAATAATAGCTTCATTGATAAATCTGAAAAGTTGTCTACTCTGATCTGTCGCAAGTGCCTTTTCCATCTACATCGTTAACGCTGCCCCACTGCTCACAAACACTGCGTAGACTATTTGTCAGTCTGCGCTAAAACTGCCTCCACTGTTTATCCTGTTCACATCCGGACAGAATGCGTTTCCGAGCATCTATCAGTTCAATAGCAACGTGGAACTTTGTACGTAAGTACAGCAGTTCAAGTTGCCGCACCATATTATCACGGAGATATAATTGCCAATGCAAATCCCATAGTAGTAAGGGTAGTAAAAGTTATAAAAGTAATCGGAGAGATTAGGGATCGAAGATGTTATTCAAGAAATATAATTCAGTAAGATAGATTTAGAAAAAGAAAGATAGAGATGATGAACGATTCAGAAGGTTGAAATTTCATAGAACACAAAAAGTAAATGCACCTGAGCCACTGCAAACGGCTTTTAACCACGTCATTCTGGGTCTCTAACAATCGATTACTAACATCTCGCGTACCAAAACCAGGTAGTTGACAACTACAGACATGACTCAGTCCACTTGTCAATGACTTAGTGGGTGTCTGCCATATTTCGGTTTGGCCGAACCTAGCTTTCTTCCAACCTACTCCTACAACACAAAACATAGCTCGTCGCCGCAGTCCGTGGTTAGGCATACATAACACATGACCCAACTACCTCAACTGATGAAGTTTCAATACTTCATCTATTGACCTGCCATCCTCACCTAGTACCCGTTTCCTAACAACAACATTGTTTACTCGGTTGTCCCACGATACTCGAGCAATGCTTCGAAGACACCTATGATCGAAAACCAGTAACTTACGAATATCTTCTACTCTCACTGGCCATGTTTCACAGCCACAAAGTAGGACGGAGCGAACTACTGCACAGTACACTCGTCCTTTAGTCAGCAAACGGATATCTCGCCTACGCCATAAGTGACGCAAGTTGTCGAAAGCCAATCAAGCCTTCTGTATCCGTGCTGAGAATTCGTCAGTCACCATGCTATCGGCAATGGTGAGACTCTCGAAATAAGTGAAGCGGTCTACACACTTGACTACTTCAATCTCTATCACTAGTCCAAGTGCCGATGCAATCTAATCTTGAAGCAACATTTTGCATTTCGAGGGGGAAAACTGCATCCCGAACATGTTTGCATTGTTGCTTAAGGTAGTCAGAAGACTGCATTTTGTCAGCCCTTAGTGGGCACCATTACCCAAGGAGACGGAAATCCGTGACGTAGGGTGAGGTGTGACATTTTTAGGGTCGACATTTTCTAACGATTCGTTCTTTGTAAGAAGGCAGCATCGCTGCAGAGGCTGGTTGTCCGAGAGAAACACCTTACTACTGTCACACCCTTCTGCAGTCAGCAGTACGACTTCGCCCTCAGACCTTGGGTAGCTGCTTTTAGTCTCATCGTTCTCAAATCGACCTGCCTGGCATGGTAGAACTTTCGGGAACATATGTCCCAGCCAATATAACTCGGTTGGGTCATCACGATAGGCAAGCTCTACCACCACGTCAAGGTAACAGCTTCGGTCGGGCTTGGCTGCGCACACTGTGGAGTTGTGTACCTGGTGGAACTTGGAAAGGAGGTCCTACGGACTTGGAAGCGTGGCCGCAAAGCTTAAAGGGACAACTGCTTGAGGCCGGTGACGTACAGTCTTCTTAATAAATTTTGAAGTGTTAGCTCCGCTATTCAAAAGGCCTTACAGCCGGAGATGGAAATACCCCAGGCCTTGAGGAGCTACTTTTGGTTTTACCGTTCAGCAGTCTACCTGCCTGGAATAGTATAACCTGCAGGAACTTATGTCCCAAACAATATACATCGGTTAGTTCATCATGATAGGTAAACCACGTTTGGGACAGTACAGACGAGAAAAGGAAGTATATAAAAGACGTAACAACTACAGGATAAGACGTAGGATAAGGAGTCGCGAAAAACTGTATGATGCAAACAAGGAGCTTGAAGGGAAATACAGTAGAATATAGAAACCAGTCTGAAGCTCGTGCTGATGATTCTGTTTAGAACAATGAAAGCTCCACATCCAAAACATCCGGCTCAGTGAACAAAACTTCACTACAATCGAAATGAATGATCAGTCATTGAATAATTGGGCATATTTCCTAAAAAAACTTGACCTCGAAACAAAGGTCAACAAACAAAAGTTCGCATTTTCAGATCGCAGTGAACGTATGTGATAATATAACATCCTTTCTTTAGTGGGATTGATAATCAGATTTCGGTTGACATATCAAATACATGTTTTCCCTAATGAAACCAAAAAAGTAAATTAACCGGAAGTCGTAATTCGACTCGGCAGAAAGTGGTGGTGCTTTGCTTACGGCAATATAAAATTCGAATGGATTTTCTTTCCTCTTTGATACTGACCATTATAGTCCTTAACACAGCAGTCCAAAACCTACCTTACGTAAGTGTAATATTGTTAAAGGTGAACTGAGCAAAGTCACAATAAAGAAATTCCTAGGGGTAATGAAGCCAAATGAAAAATCTTATTGCTTCGCTCCTAGTTAAAAAAGCTGGATTCTTGAGTCAGAATTGGTGCACTGGTGAGAACGTAACTTAGATTTCGAATATTTATTTTAATATAAAACTGTGTAAATAGTATGCTTTTTGTTTATAATGTATGATAGTGGAACGTACCCATCGCAGCTCTGATTATTGTCTCAAAAACATATCGCAATATCGGATGAACAACATGTAACGTCGAAATCGTAAATTATTGCTAACCAATTTCAAATATCAATGACAAGTGGATGTTAACTAGTTAATCTCTTTGCTGTCAGTCCTTGATGTTAAGATAAGGAAACAGGAATTCAGTCTCTTTTTGTGTAAGTAGTTTGGCAGCACACCTACGGATGAATTTATTTGTTCTTGAAAGGTGTGGTTACCATAATTGGCAGTTGTACCACTATCAGATCAGTTAGCTGGTTGAAACGTGGAAAGCTTTCAAATGAACGTATAATAGACTAAAGATACTAAAACATCTATATCAAGTGATTTAAATGATCAGGAGTACACTTTAAACAAATAAAAGTCTGATAATAGGATGAGGCAACAAACGGTCAGGTGCATAGAGCTGATATAATGGCAACAAAATGGGGGTTTCTGATGATAATAAGAGGCAAGAACTGGATTTGGCGCAGTTGTTCTGAGTTCAGAGCTTTCCTTTGAAGCTAAACTTTAACGACATTGTGGTCATGTCGGTTGTGAGAGGATTCTTGATAGGGCTAACCGTGAATGAGGGAAAGGAGTTACCTCATTATCACCGTGCTTGCCATTAGTCGCCTTGCGAAATTCCAGAAGCATTGAATATGTTTTAAGCTTTACCAGGTTACCACAAAGTAGCGATCTCTCTCCAAACTTCTTTAAACTATCTTTGTGAATACACCTAGCTTCAACAGTAACATTATTTATTTTAGTTAGCCACCAAATCAGTTGACTTACCCGGAAATTACAATGCTATACTGCACAGTGATTGTCAACGACAATGTAGAATTTATTTCGAAGGTTTTATCTTTTGGAAAATCCCTCCATGTATATATATTTGTGTTATGATATGACTGACTCTTTCTGTTGACATTTTGGTACTCTATTTGATTCCATTTTGAGATTTCATCATTGTATATTGTTATTCTTTCTATATCTTGTGCTTATATTGAAGTTTTTATGTTTCCTTCTGAACTGCTCATATGTTGTTTAGATTTGATATTTAAATATGGCTACAGCCGTTTTTGGATTTGATACTCTAGTAGTAACGGACTGGAAGCACTTATTCTTCCAGAAACGGAACCCATTGTTGTGATTGGAAGCTCGAAGGTGTAATATCGTTGTGAACCGTTTTCTTTCAGAATTATCGTGTTTTTGGTCCCTGACTGGGTGAACCCGTATGAACCTACACTGTTCGAGCCGGAGTGAACTGCAAGAGTAGAAAATCCATAATAGACAATATGTGATTTATATGTAAATCTCGCCACATCATTCCGGTCTGTTACTAATAGACTTATAGACGCGTTTACTGAGCTGAGGTTCACTAATTGATATGGGCTGTTTTATGTTTACAGTCGGGCTTACCAATTATGTGGTGGATGGAAGCTCATCAGTTCAGTGGCGGTCGGTATTCGATATATTCTTAGACCTCGTATACTGCTCATCCTGAGTACCATTACTAGAAAACGCACAACGGTGTTTAAATCAGAAGTCTTGATTACGTTTATTATTGCGCCACACACAGATAATTACAGGCATATGGAGCGAAAATTATATTCGAGTACCGAAGAGAAAGCGAGCGAGTTAGTGGGTGAACGAGAGCGACTGAATGAGAAGGATTAATGTGTACATATATACATAAGAAAATGAATAGGTCATCGAATTATATAAAAGGCTCACAATGAAGCTAGTAAAATGAGGTATGTGGGCAACAAAGAATGCTCAGTCATACCTGCTCATACAAACGTGACGATAATAAGAGTACAATGTTACAAATAAGTTATTGCCTTTCCAATGTCACAGTCTGTTATATAAGTTAATTAAAAAGGCTAACCAAATTAAATGTATACAAACCGAAATGTATGTGAAGTGGAGCTATCGAAACGGACCATCTTTGCTGATGTATGTTAGAAAGGAGTTCACTCGTGAATGCATGGGTGTAATGATAATTACTGCACCTTTCCAACTAAGTCGTGTAGATCTACATAATCTTTAACATTTCAGTTCTTTTGAACATTCATTCGTTGCAGTAAAAGTGAAGTATTAGTATTCAAACCCTTATGTTTTCTAATGACGAATAAATCTGCTGAGTCGTGACTCAAGTCAAATCATGATTTATTTTCTGTTTCACTTTTCGCCTTACCAACCTGCTTAGATTTTTTAGTTCCAAAAACACATGGAACACCACTTCATTCTACCCCTTAGGTAACTGCGTGATATTTTTTGAGACTTGTAGTTGCGTTTTGCCAGAAACTTGTCGAATTTGCTATCTAAGGAATGTCATCAAGTAAACGAATATGTATTTCCTCATTACCCGTTTTAATGTACAGTTCCGGTCTGATCTTGTATGAATTCTCTAACATCATATGTAATCTAATACGGGAAGCAGTGTCCATTTATGTCCATGAACGGTGTAACTCATAAAATGTCAATCTAACTGAGCAACTATAACAGTGTGGTAGCATTCACAATAATCTGACGCTTTTTGTAAACTGGCATGCCTCTTATTTGACACTGTTATACGGGGATTAGTATAACATAATCAAAATTAACTTTCCCCGTATTATGAACATTAGGATACACACGGAAAACCATTTTTGGCCACTAATTATGTTGTCGGTATTTTCTGGCTTTAGAAATCGATCCACTCCCTATATAACATGGTTGGCATAATAAATATTATTTCACCTAACAGAGGGATAGAATATTTCAGTTCACAGCTAGTCAAGCACAAGAATTTGGAGATGAGATCTAACTTTCTTAAATATCTTGACAATTCTTTCGAGGAATATTTGTGCCGTTTGAACGTCAGATAATGAAAAATTTTAATCCTCGTTACGGAGCAGATATGAGTTAAAGTGTTTGGATGCATCCTCAGTGGAATAGGATGGTGAAGAAGAACATAGATTACTTGTTTCATTTGCGATTAGGTATTCATCAAGTAGTCTTTAAATAAGTCAACTTCTGAACACTTCACTGACGGATAACTGAATAGTACTCGCCTTCAATATATATCAAAATGTTTTAGTCACTTACAAAAAACAACTAATGAATCACACCTGATCCAAATTCCTTCCTGTGAAATCACCAGTGTTAACTTCAGTGTACAGAACATTTCTAACGCGATTAGTACACTGAAACACTTTTGAACTAAACGACAAGATGGTATCCCAGCCAGCATGCTGAAAAATGGGAGCAATGATCCGTGTGCTATTCTCCTTTAACTATTTACTATATCACACTCCACAGAGCGTTACCCTAATAACTTGAAGACTACACATATCATCCTCACAATTATATCTGGCCCTACATCGAACGTTGAAAATTATTGACCCATAAACATTACTTATCCTGAATAACAATCTGATATCGACCTCACAGTATGTGTTCTTGATGTCTAGGTAGTGTGACACATCCCTGCTAGATTATTTCAATTGTATCACCCGAAAATAAGACAAAGGGTCTCTAGTATTAGTCATTTTCTTCGACTTTAAGAGGGTCCCACACACAATACCTGTCCGCAGACTAAAGTCATTCGGAATCAGTGATCCACTACATTCATGGTTTGCTTCATTCCTAAATGAGCGCCAACAAATAGTTCAGTAAAACTATTGCCTTTCCTCACCAAGACCAATAACCAGTGGAGTTATCCAGGGAAGTGTCTAAGGTCCACTCTTGTTTCTAATGTACATAAATGATCTATGTAATACTATTAAATTTGGAAGAGCATACTTATATGCTGATGATTTGAAAATAGTATACAGCTATAAGCCTGAAGATCTGGACGAGAATATAGCCAGGAATCAGAGTGATCTTGACAACTAAACTACCTGGAGCGAAACATGGCAACTACCGTTTAACCACAATAAATGTGGCATCATGCATTTTAGTAAACGTCACCATGATATACCACTCTACTTACAAAAATTTAGGGTTCAGACACTTACATCAGCGCATGATCTGGGTACCCGTTACACCAGAAGCCTAAAATTCGAAGAACATGCCTCAACTATTATCTCTCAATCCAGATGAGTAATTGGGTTTATAACCATGAACTTCTTGACAAGTGAGCTTCTGTTGTGAGAAACTATGCAAATATTTTAAATTCCCCATTCTTAGTTGCTGAATTTCTATCTCACAACAAACCTCCATGTGAACAATCACAAAAGTCATATCGTATCGTCAAAAGTATCAATATTGAATGAATTGGATAGTGTATATTGCTCGTCTTCCCTACTGACAGATAAGGCAAGTTTTCGAGAACAGTGTACATCATACAAAATGATATTTCTCCAGCATAGTGGAATTGAAGATCTAGTATCTAACCAAACTAGCTTGTGGATCTTTATTATTAACATGTATATTGTTATTATATAACTGTTAGGTCAGTCAGTCAGCTACAAATTCGTTCATCAGTACATACATGAGTTCACGTTGCCGTACAACTAATACTGGCTGAAATGTTAGCCTTAATAATTGTTAGAGGCATAACTACAGCTCGTGAAAAGCAGACTCTAAGAAACCAGGCTGGTTTTCGACCTGGACATGGAGGTCTCAACCACATATTCACACTACGTCAGGTCTTAGAATAAAGGAACGCTTTCAGACGCCCCATGACAGTATCTGTCGTTAAAAGGTGTACCAAGGTAGTACTTTAACCTTATACTAGCTCCCTAATCGAATATATTTGGTCAAGTGGGAGCTGCCGGCAAGCTGTCTTCGGAATTGATTACTACAACTGGTTTCCATCACGGATGTCCACATACTTCATTATTATTTGACTACTTCAAAAACATGCTTTTAGAGGTAACTTTATCTTTGTCTGACTTTCTATCTGCCAATATTAACCCTTGTTGTCAACAACCATGTTCAAAATGCCCACTGACTGCAGCATCACGTAAGATTGACCTTTACCGTCTTCATTGTAGGTCTATAGCATCAAATGAGATTCATTGTAATGTCCTTCTTCCGTTGTTTTGAAGTCATTTCCTTCATTACGGTCTGAGTAAAACAACAGTTCTGCTGAGGCTGGTCTCAGCCGTACAACCTGTGTTGCACTGATTCCAGTTACCTCCAACTTGTATGTTTTCATTTCTGCAGAAACTTGAAATAGTCTTCCGTTTTCATACAAAGTTTGGGTATTCCATGTACCTGTTCTGTATGTCAGATTGGGAATCTATCTCGCAACTTCCGAGGGAACTCGGCTTTCATCATGAGACTACAAAACTCTTCTGAAAGAAGACCTTCTAACACTCAGGGCAGAATTACAATGGTTTGAATTGATTTTTCTCGTTAAAGATTTTTAGCATGTTAGTGTTCAGAGGGGTTGGTTCAGCTATTTATTGTCCTCGTCAGTGCATTTCGAACTTTTCGAACCTAGTCACCTAAATTTTTCAGCAGTATTAAATTTCTAAAACAGTAATTTTTACAAATTTCAAAATGCAGCTCATCGCACTAGATTTACTTTACGCTTTCTTAGTGGAAATCACTTGGCGAACCGTGTGCACGAAGTAACGATAAGGTACACCGTGTTGCAACTAAGTTACTACAATCAGTCAAATTACGTAATTTACGTTTGACTCGACTACCATAAATCTTAAGTGCCTTCGAACGTCTTTATTCCTGACTCCTGGTTCTTTGGCAATACTTTCGTCCTTCGAATGGTTTTATGGCCAATTGTGCGGTAAAGTCCTGTATATACGTGGAATCTTTATACCCACGAACTCGTTTCCTACTTCAAACTTGTAAACATATCTGTTTATCCCTGCTCCGTTTTGTCAGCAATAATGTCAAATACTTGTATCATATATAAAATATGAAGAAATACCTGTGGTCATTCCATACGTACCCAGCGGATTCTAAGCTTTGCAGTAGGTTGAAGTACGGCAAAAATGTAAGAGTTTCGAACACTAAATTTAATGTCCACCAGAAAACGACAGTGGTGTTTTTCCCTAATAAATTAGGTTGTTGTTTTTTAAGTTTTGGGATAGCCAATCGAGAAGAAAGCCACGCACATTGTGGAACATATGTTCGAGATGTTAATGAAGCAAATGAATTTGAATCACAGAGGTCTTACCGATGATTCATATAATGCACATACAGACTCGATAGTTAATTCCATTCATGAATTTCATTTTGATGGCCTTGCTGGTGTGACTTTCAAGTCTTGGTTCAAGAAGTATGAGGATTTGTTCAAGGTTGACCTCAACAATCTTGATGACGCCACCAAAGTCAGAATCCTCTTGAGAAAGCTTGACACAATCGAACGAGAACGTTATAGTAATTTCATCCTCCCAAAGAACCCACGAGATTTCTCTTTTGATGCCGCAATTGAAACGCTGTCGCAAATCTTCTCTGAACAGTCATCTCTCTTTAATATTCGTTATCAATGCCTCAAAATAACCAAGTCAAATGAAGATGACTGGGCAAAGCACGCCGGCTTATTAAATCGTGAATGCGAACGATTTAAATTATCATCAATGACGGAAGATCAGTTCAAGTGCCTCATGTTTGTGTGCAGCTTACAATCTCCCGAAGATGCTGATATAAGAACCAGAATCTTAAGTAAAATTGAGCAGTGCTCGAAAATCTCGCTTCAAGAAATAACTGCAGAGTGCCAGAGATTAGTTAATTTGAAGCATGATACCTCCATGGTCGAAAACAATGGCCGTTTATCATACGTGCATGCCGTAAGTGAAAGGAAAAATTCCGGCTCACAAAAGCATCACAAGAGCACAGGCAACCAGCCCTCATCTCCATGCTGGTCATGTGGAGGTTGGCACTACAAGAAGTTTTGTCCATACAAAGATTATGTTTGCACTAAATGTCACAAAAAGGGTCACAAAGAAACCGGATGTAGGACAAAAACTCGCAGACATTAATCCGCGAAAGTCGATTCCAAGAAATACAGTTCTGGTAAGCCAATAAACAAAATTTTGGTGTCTCATAATCAGAAAAGAATTCACCAAAGAAGAAAGTATGTAACTTTGGATATGAATTCATACCGTATCTGTCTTCAACTTGACACAGCATCTGATATCACCCTTATCAGTCCAAAAACTTGGGAGAAAATTGGAAGACCTACAGTTCACCAAACGAAGCAACTAGCACACAGCGCATCTGGTGGCAAATTAAATATTGTTGGGGAAATATTGTGCACTGTTTCAAAAGATGAGGCAACAACGAGTGCAACTGTATATTTAACTAAGAACCCAGACCTTGATTTATTGTGGTTGGTTCTCATAGATGCATTAAAACTAACAGACCATTCTATCAACAACATCTGCAGCCGAGTAAGAATCAATAACCCTTTAGAGTCAAGTCTGAGAAATGCCATTATGAAAAGGCATCATCACGTATATTCGGAAGCGTTAGGTGAATGCACGAAAGCTAACGCACTACTGACTCTCAAAGCAACAGCTATTCCTGTACCTTATGCCTCTCTCCCGGTAGTTGAACAGGAACTGGAACGACTTCAAAGAAAAAGAAAAAAATCTTATTCCGGGGAGGTGTTGGGATAGCCAATCGAGAAGAAAGCCACGCAGATTGTGGATTGATGAACTATTTGAATTATGTTCGTGATAAACTATTTCATTAATGATGAACTATATGACTAATGTTCATGATAAACTATTTCATTAATGATGAACTATATGATTAATGTTCATGATGAACTATTTGATTCATGTTCAAAATATTTAACGACATTTATATAATTGTATAAATACGCATGTTTGATTGTATATTTTTGATTCTGATAATAAGTGTTCTCCAACGTCTTCCGTCTTCTTATTTTTGAACGGAGGGGTCTAACTTTCGGGTGTCATTAGTACAGTGGTTTGGCGTTACACCAAGTACAAAACATAAAATTAAGATTTTATTTCATCAACACTATTTTTTCTTGAGTTTAAATATTTTCAAATAAAGTCACACCAAGAATTTCTTCAGAAGTAAATTTCACTACGAATTTTATCAAATACATCATTTTTCTGTTTGTTGCCCTTTTGGAGTTGACGATTAGTGCTTCACGTTTTCGTATTTCGTCGTCATATGTATTTGTATCTAAGCCAGTTTAAGGCTATCTTTCGATGATAAGATAGTGCTTAAAAAACGATTCTCAACTTCTAAGCTGTTGACACTTTGAGGAAAAAACCATTCAGAGATACGAGTTCAAATGGTCGTGTCAAGAGGTTCGCCCAAATTTATCAACTCTGACTGAAAAGAGGGGTATAAAAAGAATGTATGTGACCGTGCCAGAAATACTGTTCGGACGCACAGAGCTTGTTATGAAAAATATTACAAGCGTAAGTATGACTGAACCAGAGATGAACGCACTATCAATGCACTAATATATATTTAGTCATATTGAATGAACAAAGAACTCATTGAATTACATTAGCCAAAGTAAGAGGCAGCGACCTCAGACAGGTCTTACAAAATTAAAACTCCATAAAGCAAGTTTCTTATGAAGTCGTAAATCAAGACCTTAATAAAAAATGACGAAATTGAGGTTACAGGCTCGGAAGTTCAAGGCGAAAATTACAAGCATTTGATACAAATGCAACACTCTAACAGTAACTATTACAAAGTCCACAGAAACCCTTTCAATTTAAGGAATCTTACAGCAGAATTGTGAAATCGAGCCACATCAAAGGAATAATCGAACAACTTCAAAGTCACAGGAAATCAAAAATCTAAACCCAACCCAATAATTACTTCGTTCGCGATACCAATTAACATTTGAATGTACTCAGATCATCCTGTATACATCCGGCTGTCAGACACAAGAGTAAGACTTGGTCTGTTTGTAACGAAAAATTCTTATCTCCAGCTTCATCATCAATAGGTTTCACAGCGTATAGCTTAACTATTTTCTCTACTCATATGAAAACTAATGGACGATTACATATCAGGTAGAAGAGATGACTAAATATCATAAACGAAAAGGCAGTCTTCTCAACAGCGGTTCCAAAGTTAAGAATGGATTAGAGTGAGCGAGAGTCCTGAACACCTAAACCTTCCACGTGTGGGATTTCAGGTTGAATGAAGGCACAAAAAACCTGTTAATGACTCAAGTTGTATGTTGTGTCGCCTAGATGAAAGCCAGTAGACTAGGAAGTAACATGGACTTTTAGTATGATCAAACCGGATTATTTAAAGCGGTATTTAAATAACATGACGAATGGGCCTAATACTACAGACTAGAAATTGACCACAGAAATCAGGAGTTTTTGTCGGAAGAAAAATTTGGTCACGTACCTTGCAAAAAACAATAGCCTGAAAAAGAACTAAAACCAAGGTTAGGAAATTAAAATTTCTGATAAGCACTTCGAAGTTCATCGTGATAAATATTGGTCACCAACACACAGACAGATATGTAATAGCTAGAACTAAAGCACGTCATGTCCTTTCCAAACTGAGACTTGTTGGACTCGCGTTTTACACATCATTTGTTTAGTTCAACCTTGTCATAGCAACAAGTAACCATTCGATTTACGACACTAAGTAATTTTGAAAATACAAGATAAAGCTTTAACTTATTCGGTCGTTGGATGAGAATACATTTGTGAATCTCAAAGCACTTTCATTAAGAATTGTTATTACATCAGTTTTCATTACTTGGTCAACTTTTCGTAGCTCTGACTTGTTTTTTTAGATTATTGTACTCATCAAGTGTAAAATCACGAGTTACGCATAAGCAGACTGAAAATTAATCTAATTACAGCTACTTGCCAAGGTCCCGTTGTTTAGTTTAAAAATTTCTTCCAAATGAGCCTCGAGATTATAAACACTGTGGATAAACTAACACTTTCAGATCAAATAGAACAAGAGAGAATAAGCTTGTAACATATTTTTTTGAAAAATTACGTTCCAGGAATCTTCTTAGACAAACAAACTGCAAATTAGAGGAATCCATCGATATTTTAGAGGATCAGCTGGCTTCGATTGAAGATGAAGGTAACTAAGGAGTTCTTCCCGAACTCGTCTAGATAATGAATGGAAGACGAGATATTTAATTCAAAAAGAAATGAACGATTATTACAAACGGGCATTCTTCTTTTGCGATCAACAAATACCCAAGGCGAAAGCTCTTCAACGAACGAGTATACTTGTTTTTTTACATCTATGTCATTTAAAATTTTTCAAGTAAACCGTGCTGTCAGAAGGGGCTCGAAATTATCTAGTTACATGGAACTTGACGAAGATTCAGTTCAAGAATTGGAGAATTATCGCTCGTATATAATTAAATTATGTCGCGAACTGGAATCAAGGATCGATCAGGAGGGAAAGGTGAGCATTCTGATGCAAAAGTATTATACGAAAACGTTTTTGAATAAATCACTGGCAGCTGGTTTTTTATTTGTTTCAAAGATACTTTTACAACTAAGGCTTTTCTCAAGGACAATGAGAAGAATAAACAAAAAAAATTTCGTGACTACTTCCTACCCATTTTTTTATCTCGGAGATTTATTGATCGTGATCTGAGAATAGAATAACTTTTACTCAATTCAAATACAGTTTAGAAGAAACCGACTGTACGAATGCTATGACAGATATTGAAGGGATTGAGTCAGAGAACGTCAATGTTTTCGATTATTGTGGAATTCGTCCTACTTTCAAAAAATTAAAATGATATTAGTTTCTGATATCCAACATATTGAGCGTTCGCTTCAGACTAAATTAGTAAGCAGTAATTCATGATCATAATTTTACCGATACGAACCAATTCTTTATCACAGTTCAAGGTGGTTTAAAGTGTATTTTAAGTAGTGAGACTGAGGATTTATCTTAAGAAACTAGTAACTAAGTAGGCTATTTCGATCTGGAAAGACAAACTTATCAACATATTAGGAACTAATGGTTTTATTTGATTATCAAGAGCTTAAACATTATTTTTGTGTTCGATGTCTTGTAATCATTGCAGTGTTATTGCGTTCATTGCTTTTAAATTAATGGCCGATGACAAATACTTTGAATAAAAAATCCAATAGAAGTGTTCTTGAGTATGTATGCACGTGATTGAGTAAGCTATTATGTACAGTACTAATTAACGTAACCAAAGTATGATAGTAATGAATGAATATGAAGATCGGAATTCTCAATTTACGGTCGATTCTAGAACTAGAGTTACCCGGAATGGTATTAGAATATAAATAACGCTAATAATGTTATACCTGGCAGTTGTATTAAAGCTAAAAATTCAGAATTACATCAGACAGACCTAATCTCCATTGTATTTAAACCAATTTAAGCTGTATATTTTCAACTCGTCAGCCTCTCCCGAACATATATCAATCAACAGAATCATGTAGTAAGATTAGCAGATGGATATATAAACAAATGAAGGTTTATTAGAATCAATTACACAAACCAACTAAGAGAAGAGATTAAAATTTAGCTTTCACATGCTTCGTCTCGTTATGTGGACTCTACACGTTCGTATTAGTCATAGTAAGTATGTTCCGGGTAACTAAATAGATCTCGGACGTGAATCTGTTGATTAAGAAGAAAAACAGTAATAAGTAATGCTAGAACAATTAGGCAGTGTATTATTTATCAAACTACATTATCGTTTCTCAATCATAAGACTGCCGTCAATCTGGTACGTTGTGTTTAATATCTTTCTCTAGTGATCGTCATATAAACGTTGTATTTTCTGATTGGAACCATTTTTCAAGAGTTGTGTTTTGTCTGAATGCACCCAAACTCATGCAGCAAGTATAAAATAACTGTTACAAGAGTCAACAAAGGGCCAACTCCGCCTGTAGACCTTTCATCGCTACTGCTGGTCCTTAGCCTGGATAAAGGAGGAGGGTTGGATTGGGGCTGGGGAACCTAAAAACGCTAAAAAGAAAAATCAGTTTAAACCATATAAACTCTGCTCTGGGAGTTAGAACAGTTTTGACGTCTCGTGGTAGAAAGCCGAGTTCCCTCGAAAGTCATGAGGCCGATGCCCCTTCTAACAACCAGAACCCTTCCACAGTATGGTCAGTCAGGAGGTTACATCCGCCATCATATCCATAAAAGCATACGAGATCAAATTGGTCACAATCAAATCCTTCCTAAACGTCCAAATAACTTTCTTATCGCCTCGACCAACTCTTACAACGTTTGTCACCTCGCACCACCGGAGCAATTCATTTGAGCTCACGAAACACTATTCCTGGTCATCTGAAACTCAGTACTAGATTACATCTTGGGGCTTTTATTGTTTGAAACTTGTGCCAAATAAGGCAATAGACTTCACAGTTATGATCGATGTTGCGTCTCCGAAACGCTCATAAAAAATCCCAGTAAACCGATTACTTGGTTTCACCTTGTCAAAATAAAGAACCAACTCGATTTACTCTTCGCGTATCTAGGAGCCCTGATGCTGCCTTCTGTAGCCTCGCCGTGGTCAGTATAGTATTAAATCCTAGTGCAAAACTAGCTCTCAGACTGGATCCCGATATACAATAGCGGAGTCAGCTCAGGCTGATAAAAAGCTTACTTATCGATCGTGAACAGTGGTGGGTAGCGAAAGCGAGGGATATGGAAAAGGCAACAGCGATAGGCGACAGTATGCAACTATTCCGACTCATCAAGGAAACCGGCATTAGGGACCCGAATGGAGGTGAAACTATTTCGTAAAAGGATGATCCTATTGTTCGTTTCCAATCCAAGAGATTGGATCGACGGGCACAACACTTACGGGATCAGTTCTTTTGGCTTTATTGAAAAATACTGCAGTTTTATTTATGTTCAATACTACACATCGTATCCGTAGCGTTACTCAATATACCTTTACAATCAGTCTTTAGCACCCTTGACTCTCTAAAAACAGTCATGTGCATAACTGAATACTCAATTCTACTTCGAAAATCAAGTATCCGGAATTTTCGCAGCGGGACCTGATAGATTTACCCCTGAGATTTTTGAAGTCGGTGTTCCAGTTTTATTAGTTACATTGACTGAGAATCTTAGGCAAAATCTGGGACGTAATCCCATCCACTAGTCTCAATCCCTGATTGTCCCAATTTATAAGAAAGGACAAAAGTCCTCTTGTGACGATTGCGCAGTAATAAGTCTTACTAATATGACCTCGATAATGCTTAGACGACTAATTAGAGCTCGAGAAAACCAGGCTGGTTTTCGACCTGGATGTGGCTGTATAGACCACATCTTCACACTACGACAGACCCTCTAACACAGACACACATTTAGGCGTCCTACAATAGTTGTGTTACTCGACCTTAATGCGGCATTTGACTCTGTCGATCGTGAGGTTCTGCGGCAGCGTCTGTCATTGAAAGGTGTACCAAAAAAGTACATTAACCTTATACAAGATCTCCACTCGAACACTACTGGTCGAGTGAGAGCATATGGTGCCCTGTCATCGGAATTCTCTACTTCGAGTGGTGTCCGTCAGGGCTGTTCACTTTCTCCATTCTTTTTCAATTTTGTCATGAACATTCTCTTAGAAATAACCTTATCCTCGTCTGAATTTTCAGGAGTAGACCTTCTACCAGGTGGCTCGCTTATTGACTTAGAATATGCCGATGACATTGTCCTACTTGGTGAAGACGCTGACAAAATGCAGAGTCTTCTGACTACCCTGAGCAACAATGCAAACATGTTTGGGATGCGGTCCTCACTCTCGAAATGCAAAATGTTACTTCAAGATCGGGTTTCATCGGCACCTGAACTATTGATAGGGTGTGAAACGGTTGTGCGTGTTGACCGCTTCGCTTATCTTGGGAGTCTCATCAGTGCTGATGGCCTGGTGACTGACGAAATCTCGGCACGGATACAGAAGGCTCGATTGGCTTTTGCCAACCTGCGTCACTTATGGCGAAGTCGATATATCCGTTCGCTGACTAAAGGACGGGTGTACTGTGCAGTGGTTCGCTCCGTCTTACTTTATGGCTGTGAAACATGGCCAGTGAGAGTAGAAGATATTCGTAAGTTACTGGTTTTCGATCATAGGTGTCTTCGAAGCATTGCTCGTATATCGTGGGACACCCGAGTGAGCAACGCTGCTATTAGGAATCGGGTGCTAGGTAAGAATGGCAGATCAATAGATGAAGTAATGAAACTTCATCAGTTGAGGTGGTTGGGACATGTGCTGCGTATGCCTAACCACCGATTGCCTCTTCGAGCTTTGTTTTGTAGTGAAGGAATAGGTTGGAAGAAAGCTAGGGGCGGCCAAAACAAAACATGGCAGAAATCCATGAAGTCACTGACAAGTGGACTGAGTCATGTCGGTAGTTGTCAACTACCTAGTTGTGGCCCGTAAGATGATAGTTATCTGAGGTTAGAGACCCTGAATCACATAGTTCAAAATCGTTTGCAACGGCGCAGGTGCATTCATTCTTTGTGTTTTCCTAGCCTTCTGAATTCCTAATCACCCTTATCTTTTTTTTAACTTCGTTGCACTAGATTCGACTTCTTGAATAATATCTTCGAACCCTAATATCTCTTATTACTGATAATACCTCTACTATCTCTACTACTACGGGATTTGAGTTAACAATTACATCTCGGTGCTAATGTGGTATGGCAACTTGAAATGATGTACGTTCGTACGTTCGAAGTTCTATGTTGATTTGATTGATTGACAACACACGGCCAATAGTAACCTAATGGTATAACTCATATTTGAAAATTTTAATATGTAAGAAAAGCTTGACTGGGAAATACAAACCCCAAAACTTCTTGAGTAATATTTCACAAAACGGAGAGATTTTCACATATATTTCAGCTGCACTAAATCGGATCGCAGATTCCATGGCTATATTGTGTGTTGAACGGAATAAGGAAAAATGTATTTATTGTACACAAGCTCAGAAATCAGCAGGAGTTGAATTTTTAAGAAGTTATATATATTATTACATGTTTTCTCATCGTTGAGAAATAGGGTACAAATATAAATTGTTGTTGAAAAACAACTGTTAGGTAAAGCCTACTAAGTCCCGTCATATATTGCCCTTAAACCATGATATCCCATGTATGTAGAGCGATTTATTTTTGAAAGATATGAATCGGTAAATTACAGCAACATTTAGTGCTGCAAACGTGTTACTATTTACAAACAATTCACGTGTATTGCCAATCAGAGTTTAGTTTTTCGCAGTCTACTTATGCTAAGTCACTGAACTGAAAATTGTGTTTTTGGTAAATAATATCAAAATGAGCCAAAGGAGACTACGTTTTTGAAATGTATATCTAACAATTAGCAGAAATTCTCGCTGATGTTAACTTGGTATTCATGATTAAAAAACAGATTCATTATATGACGATATTAAGAAGATATAATTTATAATCTGGACGACAATGTGATTTTTCGAAATCGTACTGAGACCTTAATTTCTAGCTGCTATCATCTATTGGACAAATATTTTGATTTCGAATACTAATGTGGTAGTAATGAACTGAAGGGTCATAATTTAACAAATATTTAGGATAACAAGGGTGTACTGAAGTGCAGAACCAACCCAGTATTGTCGTCAGCGAACGGACACTTACTTCCTGACTATATGATAATGCAATAATTTTCACAGACATAATACAAGGTAAATTAATGTCTCCTATGAATTTCGTAGTACAAATGAATAACAATAGTAGATTTTTAATTTTTTTTAACAATCTTTAGGCTTATTACTGGGCTACAGAAATTCGCAAACGTGCACTCATTGAATTGAACTATACATACATACCAGCACCAGTAAGCAAACATCCTGTGGAGAAGAAAGAAGATGAAAGTGATAAATTAGTGAGGAAGACACAGTAGGTTTAGTTTGTTCTAGGGTCACAAGTGACGTGATATATATTTTAAAGTAAATTTTTATCTATAAAAGCATGATATTCTCGGATTTTATTATTCAATGAACCAATATGTTTAAATAAAATGTTGCTAGAAGCCTATCTGGAATAAAACATTTCGAATGAACTGGAAGTGTTTAAAATAAATAGGTCATTTGAGAGAGTTGTGTATACGTTTTCTAAAAAAGTACTTACGAACATGTTAAAAAGTTGACTGTCAATGAACGTTCGACGTTTCATGAGGTTCGGAAGCTAAAGTTTACTGGGACAGGTAGCATGGCTTCCTCAAAATCTAACTAGCATAATTCGGAAATCACTGACCAATTAGCGCCGAAGTTTGTTCGGTACAACATTTATTAGAAGCCTAGACCTCGTACACAGAAACATTAATCATGTCATAAAGATGGTCAGTGAATTCGGTTTTTAAATCTATCAAAACGAGTGAAGACAACAGAAGACTTTTTACACTAACTTTTGACACACTGCTACCGTCAGTGAAAACCGCACTCAAGTGTATTGTAATATCGAGGACTCCATAAAAGGATGCCATTATTGAACTAGAGTAACAGATTGCTATGTAACAAGGCTATGATAAACTTATGGATGCTTCATGTACACATAGAGCGAGCATTGCAACTACTATGAAGTGAATGTTTAGTAGTAATGAAATTAACATATTACCATTTCAATTCAGCTACAATATACTGGATCTGCTAAGTAAGAAACGCACGCTAGATATTTTAACTACCGCTAAAAACTATCCGCAAATTTTAAAGTTCGAGTATAAATGTCTGAAAAACAAAACTCAGTGAAAATTCAGGGGTCGGTATTCAAGAACATTGAAAGGGATAGGCGAGAATTCATTAGGATTTGTCAGATTCATCCATTCGTCTACGTCTCATAGATTGTGAGTTTGGACCGACTTTTCATAAAATACAGTGACTCCAGTTGATGAACGATTGTGGAGGAACTTATCAGGTCATGCATTCTTATTTTATATTGCACAGATGTATGTATCACACCCGACAGTCGATTTATTTTTGATAACATGGCTCAAAAAAATTGGTGTTTCAAGTTTAAAACAATAGCCTAGTAAATGAAAGAGGAGTTTCGACACCAATAAGAAAGTTCATGAAATGTGGCATCAACTAAAATAAGATTGTTAAGTGATGATAGACGTAAGAATTGTGTCGACGATCTACACAAGTAACAAACGGCAATAAAATACATCACAGGATATCTCATAACTCACTTCATTCATATAATAGATAGGTGAAAATATTACAACTTCGCTTCGAAGTTGAAGTCTTTAAAAGCCCTTGAGAGTAGAAAATGAAGCCAATGTATTTATTGGAAGCCCCAACGACTGACGCAGTTACACTTATTCCCGAGAGTATAGATGTGATCAGGATTAATTATCAGATGGAAAAATACCACTAACGTATGCTCTTCTTACACAACCATAACTTCTATGACATTACTCAAATTAAGTACATCTGATGTATTTTTGGAATTCTAATTCAGTAATTTGGATAGATGTGTGATCTGGTCAACCCTCATCGACCAGATAGAGATGTACGTGTAGTTGTAAACTAGCACATCGAGTAAAACTGCAAACACATGTAAGAAAAAAGCAGTGAAAACGTGTAGTCGAGACTAAAGACCATTCAAATTTCAGTTTGACCAAAAAACAACAAAGTTATCCACGATGGATAGATATATTCTGAAGTTGGTTTAATTGTATCTACAAGTACGTCATTGTAAAGTTAAAAGATAATTCTTATTTGAATAAAAATCTGTCCAAGAGCAAAGCATTACGAATATGTAGAGTGTTAAATTATTGCCTGTATCTACTGAATTGGTAAGCCGAAACTGTGTTTACAGTTATAATACATTTGATCATTTAATCAAAGGTTGTATAAGCCGTTAGAAAATGCAAGATTTTTGTATTCAGAATTCAGTTACAAAGTGATTTCATAACCTTTTGAAACGCACTCAATTAACTGGTGATAATTAACTTTTTTTATGCAGAAATCGAACATTTAATTCTAAATATGGTCTTGGAAGTAAAACAAGTGGAGTGAAGAAGCTGCCTCCAATGCATTTCTGACTGACATCGCTTGAAATGATTATATATACATGTATGCTGAATTAAATAGAGGAAAGTAAATAAATGTCTAACATTTTATTTAACCAAACATAGTTTCTAAAATGAAAAAAATGAGTTGTTCTTTACAGGAATTAAAAGTGAAAATCGATTGACGATAATTACTTATTTTTACGATACACAACATATGCTACAGATTCACCCGTTTTACAAAAGTTATCCGAATATATACTTAGATCACACAAATTCAGCTTGGTAAAACAATTGTTTCTGCAGCAATTTTCAATAAATCCTTTGTTCTTAAACGCCAGTTCCTAGGATCTTTACTGATTTGGCACCATACTTCACCATGGTGAGGTTCAGCAGCAACACAGCGTCGATATACTTCTTTCTGTTGGTCCTAAACAAAATGAAATCCCGGTCAAACAGCCAACTTATTGATATTGTTTCAACGAGAAAATATCATTTATGCATATACTTTTATTATATACTATGAGCTTTACTTAGCTAGCGTGAAGGCTGAAATTACCATATTGATTAAAAGTGAAAAAGGTCAATGCGTCAATAAATATAATTACCATTAAACCTATCAAACATTTTATATTGTGCGGCAAATATACAAATTGACATGGTAAGTGCTAATGTTTCAATACCGAAAATTCCAGCTAATTAAACTTAGTATAACTCTATTACCCAGTTAAAATTTATCAATTCGATTTTGTGTCATAATATTCATCTGACGGATGGTGATACTATTAGAAAGGAAAATGTAAGGTTTCAACCTGAAACTTAATGCTGAAAAGCTGAGTATTTCAATTATAAGGCATTTAATGGAACATAGTTAGTCAGAGTAGGAAATACTCGTAGGTTACTGGTTTTCGATCATAGGTGTCTCCGAAACATTGTTCGTTTATCTTGAACTATCGACAAAGCAATGCTGTTGTCAGGAAACGACTACTAGATACGGATGGCACATCAATTAATGAAGTATTGAAACTTCGTCAGTTGAGGTGGTTGAGACAGGTGTTATGAATGGCCAACCACCAACTCACTCGATGAGCGTTTTTTTGAGGTTGGAATAAAGCTAGGGGCGACCAAACCAAAACATGGCACAAATCCATGAGGTCACTGACAGGTGGACTGAGCCATGTTCGTGGGTGTAGACTATCTGGTTGGGGTCCGCGAGATGATGGTTAGAGACCTTGAATGACATGGCTCAAAATTGTTTTCGATGGCGCAGATGCACCCATTCTTAGTCTTTTCTCAAATTCTAATCTTATGAATCCCTCATAACCGTTTTTTTAAGATTTATTTCTCTGCAGTATATATGTCGAATGATATATCCGATCATTAATCTATTTGATCACTGTTAATACTTTTACTACTTCTACTTCTATGGGATTCGAATTGACAATGGCGTCTCTGTGTTAATATGGTATGGCAACTTGAACTGATGTACTTACGTACGAAGTTCTACGTCGTAACTTACTGACTGCTGTCTATGTGAATATAATATTAAGACAGTATTGATGAAATATAATAGTTCTGTGCTTACTTCTGTTCCGTGTTGCAATTCAAATTTGTAAAAATAAGCCCATGAATCACCAAGATCTGGTTCCAATTTCACAGTTCTTGTAAACCAATTGCGAGCTTTCATGACCAGTCGTTCACACCAGAACATTCTAAAGTTAGCGAAGGCATAGCAATCTTTAGAAAAAACGTAAATTTACAGTGGAGCTAAATATCAATCGAAGTTTATGGATGATTAACATACAGTTTCAGTGAGACCGGGTTCATAGAAATATCTTTGATGAGGATAAAAGTTAACCAAATACAACCATCTATCCTGATCAACTCTTGAATTGCATTTCTCGTGCAATAGATGGATAAGATAGAGGCAATAGGTGACAGTGGACAACAAAATTAAGACTTGTGAATGGTAACCGGTATTAGAAATCAGACTCTCTCTCTCTATCTCCGAAAAAAGATGAGGCTATTTTTCCTTTTCAATCACGAAGATTAGATCGATCAGTAGAACACTTTAGAGATCAATTCAACTAGCATTCAGCAACAGTTCGGTTATCAAGATCGCCAGTCGATATGAATGACAAGTTCGTTTAGATCTTCAAACTCTCAATGAGAGTTGAAAAAGTTATGGGAAATCTCAAGCATGAAAGAGCAGCAGGCCCGACTGACCCTTGGGACTTAAAGGATGGTGGTCCAGTTTTAGCAGGGTTATCGACTTTCTTCATTCCCACTCAACTTTGTCATTAACATGTTTTCTTTAGCGACGAAAATTTCATCGTCTGACTTGATCTTCTATCAACAGACTCGCTCGTTGACTTAGAATATGCATATGACATAGTTCTGTTTGGCGAAGATGCTGACAAAATGCATTCTTTTGACCATCGTATGCAGCATTACAAGTATGTTTAGGATGCGATTCTCCGCCTCGAAATGCAAAATGTTGCTTCAAGATTGGGTTGCATCGCTACCAGAACTACAGAGAGTGAAACGGTTGAACGTGTTGACCGCTTCACTTGTCTCGAGAGTCTCATCAGTGCTGATGGCCTGATGAAATCTCAGCACGAATACAGAAGGCTCGATTGGCTTTTGTCAATTTACGTCATTTATGGAGTAGGCGAGATATCCGTTTGCTGACTAAAGGACGAGTATACTGCGCAGTAGTTCGCTCCGTTCTCCTATATAGTTGTGAAACATGGCTGTTAAGAGTAGATATTCGTAGGTTACTAGTATTTGATCATAGATGTCCCCGAAGCATTGCTCGTGTATCCTGGGACAACCGAGTAAGCAATGCTGTCGTTGGGAAACGAGTACTAGGTAAGGGTGGTAGGTCAATAGATGAAGTATTGAAACAGTTGAGGTGGTTGAAACATGTGTTACGTATTCCCAACCATCTAATGCCTCGACAAGCAATGCTTTGTGGTGTAGGGATAGGTTTGAAGGATCTAGGGTCGACCATGAAGTTATTGACAAGTGGACTGGGTCGTGTCGGTAGATGTACGCTACATGGTTGTGGTCGGCGAGGCAACAGTAACCCATGGTTAGAGACTTTGAATGACATGGCTCGAAGTCGTTCGCAATGACTTAGATGGATTCATTCCTTGTCTTCTATCAAATTCTTATCTTATGGATTCCTCATGACCGCATTTTCCTCTGTGCAATCAAAATTGTCCGCTTTCTCTCTTCAGTGCCAACTATGACAAGGGTATCAAACAGGAAACAACCCAATTGATTAGTGTGAATACGGGAAGTTCAAAAGGCAGTTCTCTCCCATAATAATACAACAGTTATCAATTAAAATAATGGATGAGTTTTCAAGAGGCTTTTGTGTATAAAGGTCGATATGCCAATCTGTTTTGAATCTAACGGAACTGTTGCTGAATGTTTTAGGTCATGTGCGCACATAAATTGACAATAAACCAATAAGGGGTTTTGAAGATTGTTAAGTTACACATTTGAAATCATGGATCGATCAAAGTTAGACCACCATTAGAAACTTGGAAGCATTGGACGGCCGTATTGTCCAATAACAAAATTGTTTTTAAAAGTTTCTGGACTATCACTGGAGTACTATTTATGTCATTACAAGGAAAGACATCCACACTATCGACTTTATAAGACTGATTTCAATGTACATTTTATCGGCAAACATTTAAGGGAACGGACACTCCCAATAAAATTATTACAAAATCCAATCCGACATATATTCATATGAGACCACTAACCTCGAAATCCCCACACTGTCAGCTCTAGGTTCCAATCAGTTATTTAAACCAATAGGGAATTAAAGGAAGTCTTCACTAATTCATAGCTTAATCTTAATTATACTGACAAATTATTTATGTGCAAAAATCTTTAAGTAATGCAAAAGTTAGCAATTCATATTTTGGTCAAGTTCCGTTTTGAGTTGGATTCAGCTCATTAACTACCGGAGAAACAAACCTCCGCTATCTTAATAATTCAGATCTTGACTACATTGTAAACTTGACAATGTTTAATGCGAACTGACTGATTTTTATTTCATTTAAACACAAACATTGGTACGAACAGTCACTTTAATATTTATACGCCACACAAATTGAATTTGTGAATGCTGTGAGATATTTTCCGGGTGCCCAAGCAGAAACAGATGGTTTGCTCAGAGGGACACACCCGAACCTTTGACCAAAAAGCATAATCTACAAGTCGGTAGCAAAACAGGTTCATATGTCATTTTCCCCGTAGGACTCTGAAGTCGATGTTCACTATTGGTTTGGGATCAGGGTTTTCCAACTCCTCTAGGTGGATTTTACGTACCCACCAACCTGGTTTAATCACCGATCATTCGTTTTCCGCTCTCTCAATTCCGTAAACAACACCCTCATTGTGAAAAAGCAGTGAGTAGGTTTCCTCTGGAAGTGGCTGTACATGCGTGACAATGTGAGATCATTTCGAGAAGGGGAGCTCTCAGTCGTGCTAGAGCAGACTGATAAAATACCATTATGTCAATAAAACTTGATCATACTACCAGAGAGATAAGATTTTATGAAAACTGTAATCTATCTTTAACATGTACAGTACAGTTAAGGTAATGTGGATTGTAAAGTCGTCCTATTCATGGTATACGATAATACAATAATTACGACCTTGAAACTGTGTCTCAATAGAGAAACAGATTTGAAATGCGTTAAATAAAATGAGTAGTGTAGTAATATTATGATCGCAAACCAAAGGTCTCGCGGTATGACTAGGTTACAAAATTGAGAAGAAATTTATCTTCCATTTTATTTCTAATTGATTTCATCGAGTAAACTGTATAATTTCGACACAGAATACCGATGTTTACACAATGGTTAGTAAAAGATAATTTGCTGTATTATTCTACTACCGACATAAGCGTGTCAGTGAAACTATTCAAGCTCGTTACAGACAATAAAAGACTACGGAATAATAGGACACAATAATTATCATAGAAGCTAATACCACCCGTAAAAAGATAGAAACTAATCTACAATAAGGTTGCAAGTAGTATTAAAACTTTTTAATACAGAAACTAACTTCGATACAGCTAAAAGGACCAGTGG